AAAAAAAAAAAAAAGAATGAGCAAAAACTGTTTGACTTTAATATCTTTCATACACAGATACGGATTAGAAAAGGGTTAGTGATAGATTAGTGCAAAAACCGCGTTAGGAGAGAAATAATGAATCAAAGGGCAGCCTGGTGAGGGGTGAGGCCATTTTTTTTTAGCTTAGACATTCCAAGCAAAGAGTTGCTTGGGTCAGCCCCCACCATGGCGACCATTGTCCCAGGTTCCACCAACATTTGGAATAATATTATTGCGAGGAGATTCTCATATATTGCGTTTGTAGGACCAAACCTAATAAACTAGATTAGTGCTCATAATTAATATGTTAATTAACCTATGGACTGTCACTTAATGTGACTTGTCTGCCCTGATAATAAAGAGTATCAGTTTCAGATTTAATCCATTTGATCCACCAGGGCATACAGCCAGACAGCAACTTTGAAAATGCTCTCAAGAGTTTGAAAATGTCCACAGTGAACCTAATAAGTATGAGTAAAATTGTGTGACATTATAACATACATGGACATACAAATTAAATGAGAGGAAAAGATATGCTTGTGACCACATGAATTGTCATAATCTAGCAAAACCTTTAAACCGACACATTTGTTCAAAGTACTTATCATTTCTAGAGTTACATCTCTCACAGTCATATATACATTAATTTTCCATATACAGATCATAAGTTAATATTCTGTCCTAAGTATTATTAATGTTAAATTTCATATACTGTCAATGAATGATAATTACCTATTAACGAATCAAAATTAACATTTCTTAATAAAGATTTTTATGTTGTTTTAAACTTTAATTAATTCGGTGAAAGATATTGGACTATGCAATAAACGTTGTAATATAATGTAGCGCCTCTATTTTAGAGATTTATCTAATTCATCCTTTGAATCAAGTAAGTAATTAAGTATGAACTTAACTTGGTGATTAGCTTACTCATGTTTATATTAAAAGAAATTTGGCCGATTTTTACAATATATATAATAGTACTTTAGAAAATGTTTGAACAATCATCCACATAGTTTCTGTGTCAAATGAAGCATGCCATAACTTGACAGGTTCCAAGATTTTTTTAAAAATATATAGGCATGCATCCCTATATGAAGGCATAGAAAGAAGCAAAAGAAAGAGAGAGAGAGGGAGTGATATAAATAGGACAAGCTTATGGTAACATCGTGATGAAGAGGCCAAGGCATCCAAAGTCGTCCAAAGTTCAAGGGAGATTGTGAAAATCACTTGTTTACTTTGGGAGCAAAAACAATATTGATCTTGTACTCTTTGAGGTCTTCCATGGCATTTTGTGGCAATAAAACAACCACAGGACAATCTATATTGACACCATATCTTGACTCTATCCTAGTTTTATATCTGGACCACACCGCAAAATCCTCTAAAAAGCTTAATTCTTTACATTGTAAAAAAAAAGAAAAAAGAAACAAGAGTTATCCAAAGTGGGGGGCTTCCTTTTCCTTTTCCTATAGAAAATATAGAGAGGTTTCTTTGTATTCTTATATGATTTTGACTCTACCAAGTCCAAAAGATGAAAAGGGTATTCTCTTTTTTTTTTCCCTTTCCTTGAAAGGGTTGAATTAATTGGGTAATGTTAAAAGATGATGTGAATGGGAATGGCTAAGAGTCATGGGGGGGAGGGGATAATTATACATAATATCATAGAGGTAGGTTAGAAAGAAACAATCCAAAATGGGGTTGGGGACGTTGACAAGGCAAGGGCACAGCTTGGGTTAGGGATGTTTCCTTCTCCTAGGGATGTGACCTGTCCCTAAGTCACAACCATGGACTCGAAGGGCTTTAGAATTAGTGATGTTGATAGCTTGCTATTGATACGTTTTTGTGTCCTACAGGGGAAATAGGTAACACAATATGGCTCATGCCAATGCCACCCATTTTTTCATGGCTTAATTTGACCAAAACATACAAAAAAAAAATGATTATTAGTCTCCAAAACTACTCTCCATTGCTTATCATTTTGTACTGGTAGTAACCCCAGCGCTAGCTGTTTTTTTTTGAGATGGTACCTGTTTTAGTACAGACAACCTCAGCAGGGAAAAATTTAATAGCGAAATTAAGCTTTGTATGGAAAAATTGGTTATTTATTTCCAAACAAACGTTTGACAACATGTAATTGTTTTCGGTACAAAATGGTAATGGTCCTTCACTTCTTTGGGTTTCTTTAATGTAAGAATCTCAAAGGTAATTATTTTCAGTTCATGACATAACCTCAATGATTTAAATAAAACAACTCTATGAACTTTACCTGAAAATTTCCAGTGGAAAGCATGCTGTCCTAGAAAGAGAAGACCCAAATCGAGGGTGTAATTATATTTTAAAAAAAATAACAAGAACAAACATCTTCAGCTATGTGCCATTAATTGTTATCCCCATTGGGTGGGCAAGTGTCAATTCAAGAAAGTTGTCTTCTAGCTCCAGCTAATCCAAACTTTCTTTTTTCCTTTTTCTCCTTTTCAGTTGTTCTAAGTCAATAATTCAACTCTTTTAAGAGATTTGTCTAGTAGCAAAAGAGAAGAAGAAGGGCAGGAAAAAAAAAAAACTAAGTTAAAATTGGGAGAAAAACAATTTGTTTGTGCAGTGAAGACATACTGCCGCTTTATCAGATTGATATATTTGATAAAACTGGGTGTTGCATGGGATGAATTATTGGTTCATGTGAGAATGTGCATAATTGGAAGGTTCTTAGAAGTATCTTTACTATAAAATAATAGCCATTTTTTTATTTAATTTATACAATATAGTATAAGATTGGGTCGTGCATTATAATCATATGCTTCTCCTAAACACCCATCTGATACCATTAATTGAAATGGAAGATGCAAATTGGCAATACCCCAAAATGAAAAATAAAAACCTTTCCACATGCATGTGATTTGTTAACCTTTTGTGGCTTCTCATTATGCCAACAAGATGATAGTTTTCAATTTGATAATAATGGGTTTCAAAAATTAATGTGAGAATGATGATAAATTTTTTTCTTTCTCTGCAAAAAGAAAGATTAAGTAATGATTGATGTTCAAAAATTTAACTTGGATCTGGGGTATATTAAATGTAAAATAATAGAAAACTCATCAACTCTATGATTAGTGATTAACGATGTAGGTTTCCATAATTTCATTAAGTGAGTTTTATTTAAAAGTGTGATTAGTTAATGTGTTATTTGCCTTACTTTGATGTTAAATATTGGAGCATTTGCATCCCAAATTTTTTACTTAATAATAAATGATAGTAATTTTTTACATTAATTGCTATTCCAACTAATTCAATGTTTTTCTTTGAAGCATTTTCAATCATATAAGGATTAAGTATTAGATTAGAGAATAAGAGTGAAGGGAAGAAGGATTTTAAACTAAACTTTTTAAGTAAAAAATATATATGTATATATTATTGAATTAAATGTTCGAATGTGTTAATAATCAAGTTTAATAGTATAATATGTACCGTCAAATTTAAGGACAAAATTGTCCTAGAGAAATGATATCCCATTGATTCATTGAAGTTTCCAATCTTTTGCAAGAAAGTAACCTAATAGCCCTAATCTTTCATGTAATGATTCTGAAGAAAGGCTAACTGATTGTTAGGTCCACCAAAGGACTACATTATTTTTTCACCATGTTTAAATCTCTTTTACCATCTCCCCACTACCTTCAATCCAAGTGCTTTGCATGTGATGTACAGTTGACCAAACGAGCAACTGTGGAGACGACCTGCCCAACCCAAGAATCGAACCACGTACAGTGTGCAATCAAAGTCGGTCGATGTTCTTGGTTCAAGATCGACGTCCCATCTCCCTCCACGTGTTGACAAAGCATAGATCATGAAGCTGATGTGACGTACACATGCAGCCATACAAGGAACACCCCACAGTTATATTATTGAGGATTCTCTCTCTCTCTTTGTTAGCAAACTTAATAGCAAAAGCAACCAGACAGAAGAAGTAGAGGCAAAAGCTATATATCAAGAAAACACAAGAGAGAGAGAGAGAGAGATAGGAGCAAAAGAAAGGAAAAAGAAAAGGTCAAGAGATTATTTCTTCGATGGAAGTTAGTCTCAAAATGGCCAACATGCTAGGTGCTGAGCGTGATTTGAACTTCAAAGAGACTGAGCTGTGTCTTGGATTGCCTGGTGGAGGTGGAGGTGGAGGAGGTGGTGGCGGAAATGAAGTGGAAACTCCAAAGACTACTGGGAAAAGAGGCTTCTCTGAGACTGTTGATTTGAAGCTGAATCTTCAGTCTAAGGAAACTGGCATGGATCTGAACAAGAACATAGAGAATGGTCCAAAAGAAAAAACTCTCCTCCCTGCTTGCACCAAAGATCCTGCAAAACCACCAGCCAAGTTAGTCAAATAAAAGAACCCACTTTATTATCTCTTTATGCTTTCTGATATCTCTATCAAACTTTTTTTGCTCAGTTATCTATATCAAACTTCCCATACTATATTAAAGTATCTGTTCCTTTTCTATAAAGGATATTAGGGTTCTCTCTTGATTTAGTAATTCTTTCTTGTTTTTAAAGAGTAATATATATAATAATATTTGGGGTTGGATTTTCAGGGCACAAGTTGTGGGTTGGCCACCAGTTCGATCTTACAGGAAGAACATTATGGCTAACCAGAAAAACAGCTGTGAGGAAAGTGACAAGAAAGCTAGCAGTGGCAGTGCAGCGTTTGTGAAGGTTTGCATGGACGGTGCCCCATATCTGCGAAAGGTAGATTTGAAGATGTACAAGAGCTACCAAGAGTTATCTGATGCCTTGGCTAAGATGTTCAGTTCCTTCACTATGAGTAAGTATTCTCAATACAATTATGGAAGTTAGACAGAAAAAAGAAAATAATACTAACAAGTACCATTTTTATTTTGAATAGATCCATCATCCATGTGATCATGTCCATAACCCCCCAAAACATATCCCTTCCACTTGAAATGACAAGCTAGAAAAAATATATGCCTGTAATATTTATTGCCTTCAAACAAGAAAAAACTCTTCCGGATTTTAAACTTCTTCAAAAAGGAAAAATAAAAGGTAGGTTTTGACTTGGAGAAAAGATGTTTCATTAGACAATATTACATGCCAAAAAAGAGTGTATTTTTAGGCTACGGATGGAGAGAAAAGCTGCCTGGTTACTGTTATCTTTTTGTAGTAATGAGGACAAAGCTCCGATTTATATGTTGAAACCAAACTGTAAAGAACGCACGAGAGCAGTATCCTCAAGGTTGAATAATGATACAAGTTTTTGAGTTGTCAGTGTAAGAGGCTAGAATTTAGGTTGCATGTCTATCTTGGCATCTGAATAATTTCATGGTATTGTTTTTTCTTTTTCTCTGACAAATTAAAAACTGAATTTTGACATGGCTGTTTTTTGTTTTGAAGGTAACTATGGATCTCAAGGAATGATAGACTTCATGAATGAGAGCAAGTTGATGGATCTTCTCAACAGTTCCGATTACGTGCCAACCTATGAAGATAAGGATGGTGACTGGATGCTCGTGGGGGATGTCCCATGGGAGTAAGTTCTAGTTTCAGTCCCATGAATAAAATAACAAGCCTAAAGCTTCAAAATTATAATCAATCAAACAACGAGCTTTGCATAAGTGTGATAGTCTTCATTAAATGCCTCTATATATATCTACATCTTTTAGCAGCAAGAGAAAAGGCGGGCTAGGCCAGGCACTGAGACATAGAAAGCTGCTACATCTATCAGTTTAACCCTTAACTAAATATTATAATGAGGTGAAATTTTGCATAGCTAATCCTTGCTTAATTTTTTCTCACAGGATGTTTGTTGACTCATGCAAGCGCTTGCGCATAATGAAAGGATCAGAAGCAATTGGGCTTGGTATATGTTTCTTCACTCACTCACTCACTGATTTACTTTAGCTGGATTTAACTTTATCATCACTAACAAAGGCTAGTTTTTGTTAAAATTTTCAGCTCCAAGAGCAATGGAGAAATGCAAGAGCAGAGCCTAAACCATATACCTAGCATTTGGCCAGCTGCTGGTTCTTTCCAAGCTCTGTATCCCTAAAGCCTGGATTGCTGCAACAAGATCCTGGAATAGAGCAAGGCTAGCTGGCTGCACCTTTGGATGTGTCTGTATTTTTATTTGATATTTGGTATATAGATATGCAAAAAGATCTGGGACATTTGTAATGGACAAGAAGCAATAAACTTAACCCTATTGTCTGGCTTGTTTATTGCTAATGGGGCTTGTTTAATAATCACCTGTTTTTGCTATTGTCTGGTCGTCCTTGCTGTCATAGTTGTTGTGTATGTGTTTTATTCCTTTTCCCCCAGTTTTAATGCCAATACCTTTTTCTTTCCCTCTACCTCCAATCAAAAAGATTCTTCATATCATGTAATTCCATATTCTTCATTTATTAATTTAATTATTCGCATTGTTATATTACTATAGTTTTATATATATATATATATATATATATACACCAGTATATAATGGAGAACATTGAAATTTATTAGAATTTCAGGACCCCCATGAGGGAAGGGGGGAACAAGGCCATGTGCAGGCTGATGGGGGGCATTCATTCATGACCATTAGTTTATGCTGTTTACTGGTTATCAGTTTTTTTTTTTTTTTTGGGGAGGGGAGGGGTGGGGGAGATAATCAAAACACAACAATTTGACTGGTGAATGTAAGGCTGCTCTCTGAATGTGGCTTATATTTTTACAAATGTAGAGATGGTGGTTTGTAGCAGCACTTGCCTCTGCCTGTTGTTTTTTTTTTAATTTTTATAAACATATCAATTTAATTTTTTTCGGGATCACTAACATATATTTAGGTTATTTCTATAATGCCTGTCCTTCTCTCTCTAATATTGTTTGTTTTATATATATATATATAAAGGGTTTTTCTTGGATCTGGCATAGTGGCAATGTCATGTTCAATATCTTTGATAGAAATATATAATTTGTGAAATTTGATGTCACCTTATGCACAACCAAATCATTATGGAAGGCACCAAAAACCTTTCATTAATACTGCTCATTACTTAATAGTAATATACGTAAGTTTATTGCCAAAGCAAAGAGTCTGTGGTTAATCTGCATATGTACTTGTTTCAAGGATTATATATTCATAGGCACATCACAATTTCATTAGATTTTACGTGTTATGTTACAAAACACGATAATTTAATCTCATCTCTTTAACTTAAACTCCTCTTTTAAGATTTAAGTGTTAACTTTTTTTGGAAATTGAAAGCTTCAAACAGGTACAAAAGGATTTGCAGTAAGAGGGGGGATTAAATGAAAATCTTCATCTGATTGGAGAATTAATATATCACCGTGTTAATGAAAGAGAATGTTACGACTCGAATCTAGAATCTTTACTCAAGTCTCACCCCATCATGTTAATCACTTGAACTAAGCTCAAGTGGCAAAACACACAATTGGAAAAATATTTCTCAAGTTTTTACTTGTTGTAATTTTGTTTAAAACAAACGAAAAAGGATCAAACCTGGAAGCTAATCCTTTCTTCTGTCAATTGCTAAGAGCATCCAAGAAGAAAGATTGAACCACCCACAGCCAAAAGTGTGGAAACGTGCTTACAAAAGTTCTGACTCGTTCATCTAAAACCAAGTAAAGAATTGTCTGCTTGAACCCCAGGCCCAGCACCCCAAGCTCACAGATAGAGCCCAAATTAGACAGGAAATCCTGTGGACCAGACTCTGATTATTTATTTCCATTATCAAAGCCCATGAGAGAAGGGCAAAAGAAACACTTACAACTATCGATAAACTTTCTTTTGTTCAAAGATTGGAACTTCCAAGGGAAATTGTATAATATATACACATCATTGATTGTTTCCAAATGCTCTGTTGTTTCTATCCACCTTCCCCCCATGATGTCAATAATCAACAATTTGAATGTCTTCCACTATAAGTGAATAACATTGGTCATATTTATAGTATTAGGAAATTGAGGTCATATGATGAGAACTTCAATAATTTGTAATTTTATAAATACACTTGGTCATTTCCTAATGAAAGAGAAGGCATTATAGGAGAACTTACAAAATGAGAGAAAGTCAACCCTCAACACGAAACTGAGCAAGTAGCCCAAATTTTGAATCTTCATCCCCTGGAGCATGTGTTAAAACTTCCGAACATATATAAGCATGCATATGAGGATTCCCCAAGTCTTGCAAATTCAGCCTAACTGAAAGCGGCCAAGCAATAGACTTTAACATCTAAGAAACTTGATATTACAAACACATATCAATGAACAAAATATTGCAGTCTAAAATAGCTGTTTTATTCCTCGGATGCTCTTTCACTGAAAGAAAAGGAAACAGTTTTCGAGGCAGATTTAATTAGGTGTCCATCCCTCGTGCCTCAAATGCCTTTTCATTGAAAGTAAAAGAAGTTTCCGAGGGGGAGAAGAAAGATCCATCCTTTTCTAAACTAGTTTTCTTTATCAAATTCCATAGTTGTTTTTCCTAATGTTCTCAAACTTCCGATGGCCACTATAGCTTACATTCCTGCTACAGGTTGCAGAGAGGAAAACTTCCTGTTTCATTGTTATTCAGTTGACTTGCAACAAAATAATGGGCTGGCTTTATTTTCTTATACTTAACTAACATGCAGGTGGAAGTAAACATGAGAGAGAGGTAATTGTGATGTGATGTGAACGTGTTGGAGACATTATCATTTCAAAATACTTTAAGAAAGCTGTCACCAGAAGCTCACAGAAAAAAAAAAAAAAGAGAGAGAGAGAATTATATGTTGTTTCCAGCAACTAGCTCAATGAAAATAATGTGAATCCAGGTCAATGAAACTCATATGTAATCCCCTACTGAACTCAAATGAAAAACTCACTCTTAAAAATTCCAATATTGACTTGTTGAACAAGTCTTTCTCTTTTCTCATATTATTTCCCTCTAATGTTACGTGCAAGACCAAGCCCTTATTGACCAGATAAACAGTTAGCACTTTTGTTTTTTTCCTTTTGTTGGGACTTAGATATAAACAAGGAACCTGAAAGAGTGACCTAGACAATGACCATTACTACTATAAAAATTGTTTGCATTACAGATTAGTCCATGGGATTAGTTAAATCTTATCTACAGAACTACCTCAGAAGTCCTTGATACATAAATTAAAAATAGAGGTCAGATAACAATGCTTGTTTGAAACCTTCATCCAATCACCTCTAAGGACAAGCTAAAAATAGAGGTCAGATAACAATTTGTTTGAATCTTTCATCCAATCATCTCTAAGGACATTATGTAGAGCACATTAAACACCACATTATCATCTTCCTAACCAATACTCAGCCTCACCCCTTTTGATTATCCCTTTAAACAGCCTGAGCAGTTTATGAAGAATTAATCAATGGCCATTCCTATAGTTAAGATGGTATTGCTCATAAATGGACATGAGCACAATACCTTCCTACACAGACATCACGTTCCAACTCTATTCGTAGGCCAATCAAGAAGAGGAAGCATAAAAACAAATCGAATAAATAATAGTGCGTCAGCTAGAAATGAGTCTCAGCCTCTGCTCTCAGAAATTGGAACAGAGAGAGTGAAAGAAGAACTTCAAGAAATTAAGTCAGCAGAAGAGCCTGAGATAAAATTAGCAGACACTTGGAGAAAGATACATGGTGAAGATGATTGGGTTGGTATACTCAATCCCTTTCATCCCCTCCTACGATCTGAACTTACTCGCTATGGAGAAATGGCTCAAGCTTGTTATGATGCATTTGATTTTGATCCATTCTCCATCTATTGTGGCAGCTGCAAATTTAGTCCTAGCAAGTTTTTCCAGTCTCTTGGCTTGACCCAACATGGATATGAAGTGACCCACTACCTCCATGCCACATGCAATATCAACTTCCCCAGCTTCTTCAAAAGATCATTAAGGTCTGACAATTGGAGTCAAGCAGCAAATTGGATTGGTTATGTTGCAGTGTCAAATGACGAAACATCAGCACATCTAGGAAGGAGGGACATAACAATTGCCTGGCGGGGCACGGTAACAAGACTGGAATGGCTAGCTGATTTTATGTACTTTCTAAGGCCAATTAAAGTATCCATGATCCCATGCCCTGATCCAAGAGTCAAAGTTGAGACTGGATTTCTTCATTTGTACACAGACAGGAATAGAAATTGCCCTTTTAGCAAGTACTCAGCAAGAGAGCAAGTTCTAACAGAAGTCAAGCGACTAATGCAGCAGTACAAAGGTGAGAAATTGAGCATAACAATCACAGGTCATAGTCTAGGGAGCGCACTAGCAATATTAAATGCTTATGATATAGCAGAGACAGGAGTAGAAATCAAGGATGATGGGCAGGCAGCCCCTATATGCGTTTTCTCATTCTCAGGGCCACGAGTTGGGAATGTCAGGTTTAAGGAGCGAATTGATAAGCTTGGAGTGAAGGTGCTGAGAGTGAGGAACATTCATGATCAGGTGCCTTTGGCACCGGGGATATTTTTCAATGAACGTGTACCAGTCACACTACAAAAGCTAGCAGAAAGGTTTTCATGGTGGTATTCACATGTTGGAGTGGAACTTGCTTTGAACCACACAGACTCCCCCTTCTTGAAAGAGACAAATGATCTAGCATGCTTCCATAACTTGGAAGCGCACCTTCATTTAATTGACGGGTAAGTATATTATTGTTTTTGGGTTGTACGACGAAAGCTGAAGTTTTACTTAATCATGAGCTCTAACAGAATTGAGCGATTATAAAGCAGTCTTAATTGCAAGAGAATTCAACAAAAAGAAAACAAAATTGTTCTTCTCATATTTGCATCCATGGATTAAGACCTACTAAGAATTTAAAGGTAAATATAGGAAGATGGTGTCTAGAATTCACAACATTCAACAGTCACCTATCTTGACATAACCATTGAACCAAAGTAGGTTTTACTGCATGTTATGTCCAAATTTCTTTTATATCATTTCTGCTTCTGTTTCTTTCTTTTCCTTGTCAATTTTCACCACCCATATGTTATTCACAATAGGTCACTACCACTCAGGCCTGAATTTTGACATTATCATCATTTTTCCCTCAAAAAGGATGTAAAATATCATTCATTTATTTATGCAGTGCATGCATTTCATGAAGTGCCTTTAAAAAATTAGAATTTATCAACCTAAATGCTGTACTTGCTAGAATAGGATTTTGTAGTACTTATTACAAAGAAATTATTAACAGCAAATAACTAAATACTTAGTCGTTTTCTTATTCTTGCAGTACTACAGATTGATACAATCCTACGTTTTAAAGATTTTGCATTTTTATAAAAGTTAATTGAATATGAAAATTCTATTCGTGCTGTAATGATTGTCATCATGGTAAATCGTTGACTTTACATATTAAACTGTTTCATGTATTCACTTGATACATCAAACTGTGGGATGGTATCAGCAATTCGTGTATCCTGATTAGGACATTGCTATATTCTTCATAATAATGCCATTTGAAAAACCATGCAGACAATGGGCAAGCTTTGGGTTTAATTATAATAATTCTTGGGCCTTTTATTTTGAATATGAAAAGGTACCATGGGAAGGGAAGAAAGTTTGCTCTTGCCAATGGAAGGGACATTGCACTGGTGAACAAGGCAACTGACTTCTTGAAGGACCATTACCTAGTCCCTCCAAACTGGTGGCAAAGAGAGAACAAAGGACTTGTTCAAAACCACGAGGGTCATTGGATTCAGCTTGAACGGCAAGGTCTTGAAGATCATCTAAAGAAATACACCCCTACTTCTAGACATTGGGAATAACTGGAGCGAAGTAATACAGTACTCACTCAGAAGGCAGTAAAGCTTGTTGATTGAAGCAATGACAGCTCTTGCCCCCTTATAATTGATAGGAGATATTGGATGTAGACTGAACGATACAATAACAACATAAGTTGCTAGTTTTGGATATCTAAACTAGAAGGAAGTTGGTTGCTTAGTGAAATTATTGAATAAAGCCATTAGGTCGATTGTTGTGAACTATTTCTCCCTTAGAATTACTGTTCTAATGCATGTAAAATGCTCAACAATAAAGTCGCATCATTAGCAACTATATACATTGTTTTGTATGGGAAAAGCTTACAAATATTCAAACTAGACATTAAAGAGTTCAACTAGAAAGTTAAGAAAACTTCTTGAAGTTAATCAAACTTCTTGAAGTTAATCATAAAGCAATCCAAGCATATGACAGAGCAGAGGAGAAGTTAAAGCAATTTACGATTATGAAGAGGCTACAAATTGGCTTGGATAAACAACCAGCACTTCACATTTTGATTTTGAGGCAGAGAAAAGATATATGATTATACTGCTCAGAAGATAGCAAAGACTAAAAAGTACTACCTTCTTATTTCTTGTAATTGATTTTGAGGAAGAGAAAAGAAATCTTTGGCATTCCGTGCCACCTCTGCCTCTAATACTGCTTCCAACACAATGTCTGATCCTTTTGCACTTTCTGTCACCACAATCAACAACTACTTATATGAGCACATTCATTTAACATGACTCTTAAAAGAAGTAAATAGAAAAAGGTTGCAAAAGTAATTGAACATGCAAATATTTTCATTACATGGGATAAATGTACATTCTTTCCTGGAAAAGAGTTCAGATCTGTTATGTTTAGGCAACAGCTGAGTCCAAATTGGAAATAGAAGAAGGGGGGTTGTATCAAGACTTCTTTATATTGACAGGAAGTTAATATCATAAGTTAAATAGAGAGTAGTATTTGCATAGCCTATTCTGCAATAAAAATATGATGCAGGAACCTGATGTTTTCATCAAAACATACACATTCATATACATACATCCCCAAAATGGACATGCATACATAAAAGCACAGTACTTTCAACAATTTTGATGCTATAGAAGAAAATTTAGAAGAGAGCTCTGATCTTATACCACATACAATCAAAACTTCTTCAAAGAAGAACATGATCCATAGAAACAGAAATACAATATCTAGAAACCTTCAAATGTAGGTGCAAATAAACATAATTAATAAAAATAAAATTTAGTAAATAATTAATAAGAAATCTTATGACCTTTTCGATCTGCAACGAATCCAGCATCTTTAGCTGAAACTGGAAGAACAGTGAAATCACCAAATTCATAATTAAGATTTTCTTCTTCTATACTGCACTTCACTGAATCAGCTTTAACAGCTTCAGATTCAGCCAATCTTGCATAGGCAGTTGCTTGGCTATGCAAATTAGTTGAAGCCAAAGATTTGACATTATAATCCTGAGAAGGATGCATGTGCGGAATCAAGACGATGCAAAGGAAACAAGCTTTATGAATAAAAAAACCAAACAAAACATGAAGAAAGGGTATCAGTAATAATGATTAGATTCAAAACCTTCTTCACAGCATCATCTGAATTCTTCTCTTCTTCACCTTTCTCAGGCGGAATTGTACCCACTAAAAGGCACACAGACAAAAGAAGAGGGCGGGGAGGAAGTCATGTAACATGAAGCAGAACAAGGTAGCAATGCTAACATATAATATAAACTAATATCACTACCATTACTATCAGAAGCAGGCTCTGGAGGACTATCCATCAGTCTTCGAGTCATAGGACCAGGATTCATGAGAGATAAACTCCGTATTTCATACCGAATCGCATCTAGTTGTGCCATTGTATCTTGAAGCTCTTTGTGAACCTAAACACGTCAGACCACCATAAGGTGAAACAGAACCTCCCTAAATTTGTCGCTACCACTGCCTTCACAGATTAAGTACACTATACACGTTTCCTTTTCTATATTACATACTATACAATCTAGAAATGTTACCTACAATGGACATTCAAGGACTTTGAAAATTCTTGGCAGGAAGAACAAGAGTAGCAATAAAAATAGAAATTTTATCTGGTAAAGTCTGGTTTCTTTAACTTTGTTAAATGAAAAAGAAGTACCTGGCGAGCTTGAGATTGTTGCATAACATTATCGAATTGGCCACGAGCTAATTGAACATACCCAATTGCTCGACCTGCTAACCTTCCAGCTGTTCTTGCAATTTTTGGGAGATCCTTTGGTCCTACAATGGATAAAACACTAAACCCATTTCAATTTTTGGCTTAAAAAAAAAGCTTTCTTTTTAACAACAATGTGAGTATTTCTTGAAAACCCATTATCCCAATTAACCCCCACAATATATATATATAGAGAGAGAGAGAAAGAGAGAGAAGGATTACCGACTAGAGCAGCAGTGGCTCCAATCAAGAGGAAGAGCTCTCCATAAGAAATACCAAACATTTGGAGACAGTCACTCGATAGCCTGTTGGCGCGCGTTCTCTACTAACGACCGCGGAGCAAGAAGAAGAGTTTCTGGGACAATAAGACCAGCGTTGCCACGGGTGATCAAAGCGGCTCCTAAGTCTGCCAAGATTTGGGCTACTGGGCTTGGTCGGAATTCAAGTATGACCCATCAGAAACTGCAGCCCTTGCATAGTTTTTTTGAATTTGCGTTTTATGTATCAACAAGGATTGAAAATCGAATTGCTCTTGTTGAGCCTGCCTGATAAGTAAATCCAGTTCACTCATACATAACCATGACTTCATGAAAATCCTCAAAATAAAAAGAAAATGAAAAATTAAAGTTGCATGCTGCTTTAAGTCCACTTCGAGAGCATATTTCAAAGGGTACCAGACTATAAGATTTGTATATTATATATATATATATATATATATATATATATATTAATTTTTGCAAAGCCTGAAGGGGTGGCCAAAAGTTTTGTTGGAGACCCCATGTTTGGATTGAATGCCCCGAACAACTGCCGTTTTCAGTAAAGTGGTACTATCAGACCAAACTGCATCTAGCATTTCCTTTGAACAGGTGCTTAAATGTGAAGAGATCAAAACCAGCACTTTTGGTCTCTGCCATGAGCGATATGTTGATCGATTTTGGGACCAATCTTTCTTCTCAAAATTTTCAAACTCATGGAATGCTCGTAGCCATGGCGAGCAACAGCTTCGGCAAACGAATTGTTTTTTGCCATGTGCCTTGCCTTGATTGATTTAGCAATATTCTCTGCAATGATATCAAACTTTGGCACGTACCCTTGAAATTCCTTCTCTGATCAATCTCTTCCCATAATACATACCCAGATATCATTGATCAATTCCAAGTAACCTAATCTTTCTCATATATGTCATCCCAAACTTCCCGGGCAAACTCCAAAAACTAGCCTTCAAAGTGCATATTAATCATACAATTACTAATTTACAAAGACATGAAATTGAAACCCGAGTTTGTTTACATGGCTATATGGATTTGTTCACCTTCAAAGTCTGAGCTAAGCCTAGGAGGCTGAAGAAGCCAGGAGAACAAATGGGTACGTAAAATAACTGAGTTTAATGCCTTCTGTATCTATTTTGGGGTACAAAAGGAGGGAACTTCGAGGAGAGCTATGTTGGGTAAATTAAGCCTTTGATTATTGAATTCCAAAACAAGTTATTTGGAGAAGGGATTCGGTTGAAGATGACGTGAGCATGGTCGGGGGAGTTGAGGGCTACCAGCTTGGTGATGAGATTGTTTTGGAGAGGGAGGCCATGGCGGAGGATTTGAGCGTGAATTCCGTGATGCCCATGAGACCTAAAGCTCCATTCTTTATATAATCTTCCATAAAAAGAGGGTCCAAACACTTGCCCCTTGCTTGCCGCCGCTCTGTGACTGAAATCGAAGGTTAAAAAACCATAAAAGAAGTGAAAACGTTAAAAATTGGTGAAGGAATATGGAATTAGATAAAAAACTTCTTTTGCTTGTCGTTTGGACGATCGGAAAACAAAGGAAAAGGATGGAAACTTGGACAGTTTTCGTGGACCATATCTTCATAATTTGTTTGGTATAAAGTGGAATTTGGAAGTTGACAAGAAACAAGTAATGTTTTTGATTTTTTTAACCATTTTTTTATATTAACATTTGTGTTATCAAAGAAAATATTAATATTCATGTTATCAAATTTTTTTAAAAATTTTTATGATAATAATTTAATCGTAAAATTAAATTATCATTCAATAATTGATATTAAATGAAATTATTTGATAAATTTTTATTCAATTACTAATAAAAAATATCATAATTTATATCATACATTATTTCTATAATTATGTATAAGCATCCAACGTGTGTAACGTAATATTAAATAAATGCATATTTAAAATCATTCACTACATTTAAATATTAATAATTAACATTAATTGAATATTTTTACTTTTTTTCCATTAATCATATGATTTTTTTATATAATTTTTAATTATAACATATATCTGTCACTTTGCATAAACCTTTTTCATTTTTAATTATAACATGCCCTTCTTATAAGAATACAATTTTCATTTTTTTGGTGCCAAAAAATATTGTTCCATTTTTTTACGTCAAAATAGAAACTAAAATATAGTTAAAAAGACAAATAATAAAGAAAAAAAAGAATGAAATAAAAAAGGTTCGGGTGAAGAGCTTGCTTAAGGCCAAAGCCAAAAACCAGAAAATGAATAATATACTAGCAAAATACATGATCGGCCGGCCGCCAACGATAACTTCCGATCAAATCCATCGAGATCCCAAAACCCAACTCCTCCGATCAGGGTTTTTCACTTTCTTCCCCGTTTTCCCTCACTTTCATTTCAACCAAGCAAACGCCATTCCCTCCCCACCGAGCTATAAAACCACAAATTAAAAACCCCACGAAAGATTTTCTGATATGGATTTTAACGAACTAGAGGCGATCGAAGGCCTACGATGGTCGTGGCACTCCTGGCCGACAACGAAACCCGACTTAACGATCCCACTCGCCGTCATGTGCACGCCGTTAACGGAATTCGCGGAGCTTCCGATCCTCCCTTACGACCCTCTCACTTGTTCCAAGTGTGGCGCCGTTTTGAACCCATACGCACGAGTTGATTACACCTCCCGTATCTGGTTTTGCCCTTTCTGTTTCTTCAAAAACCCTTTCCCTCGAACTTACTCTTCTTCACTCCGTGAATCCAACCTCCCTGCCGAACTCTTCCCAAATTACAGCTCCGTTGAATACGCAAAAACTGTCAATTCCGTTAGTAATCCTATTGGGTCATCGTTGTCGTCGTCTTCGTTATCGTCAATGACGTCACTGAAAATGACGGCGTTGGCCGGAGAGGTGGGTGTTAGAGGTCCGGCATTTGTGTTCGTGGTTGATGGGTGTTTGGAGGAAGAGGAGTTGAGAGGGCTTAAGAGGGAGTTGTTGCGCGTGGTGGAACAACTGCCGGAGAGCGCGTTGGTTGCGTTGGTTACGTTTGATGCAATGGTGAATGTGTATGACCTTGGGTTTTCGGAGTGTTCGAGGGTTGTCGTGTTTCATGGTGATCGGGAGCTTTCGTCGGAGCAGGTAATGAGAATTGGAAACTAGGAAAAGCCGAAGACTTCATTTTCTTTTTGTTAGATAATTGGTTCTGAATAGTTTGTTATGCAATGTGATCAAGAATTGTACTATATTGTTTGTGTTTTCAGAGAATCGTTAGGTTGTTTTGAATGCAGTTATTATGGTCTAAAGCTGTGTTTTTTCGATGTAGAGTTGAAAGATAGGACATTTTAGTTTATTGTGTTGTTATTTGAATGTTAAATTGAAAGGTGGGATCTATTGGTAGTGATTGTATTTTGTTGGCAATGGGGAGAGCATTTGGTAATACAGTTCTTGTTTTGGCCAAATTTCTTTCGATATAAAGTTGAAAGATGGGACATTGTAGTTTCTCATATCGATATTTGGATGCTAAATTGAAATGTGGGAGTGGTTGTTACTGTTGAATTAGTTAGATTATTTTTAAGAGAGGAGCTTCTGGTATGAGTGAAAGTCCAAATGGTGCTGCTGCCTAAGCTGCTCAAGCCTCCTAGCACTCTGCTTTCATTGGAACATTTTTAGTTTTAATGTGATTAACTGATTTTGTTTCCTTTGGTGCACTCAGATACAAAAGTTTCTTGGACTTGGTGGTACAAAGCGACAGCAACTTGGAAAGACCCCTGTTATCCAGAAGCAGAGTTTTCTACTGCCCATATCTGAATGTGAGTTCAATATAACATCTGCAATTGAGGAGCTCCATTCTTCTGCGCAGGTGACACCAGGCTATCGGCCTCAAAGGTCAACTGGAGCGGCAATATCAACTGCCCTAGGACTTTTGGAAGGATGCGTGGTGAACACGGGATCCAGGATCATGGTCTTCACATCTGGACCTGCTACTCTGGGCCCAGGGATTGTTGTAGACTCAGATCTTGGTAATGCTATCAGAAATCATAGGGATCTCATAAATGGTCAGGCACCGTACTATCGAAAGTCTAGCACCTTTTATAAGAGATTATTACAGAGACTATGTGATTCATCTGTTGTTCTTGATTTATTTGCTTGTTCTCTGGATCAAGTTGGAGCAGCTGAGCTAAGAGTACCTGTGGAGAGTTCAGGTGGATTCATGATTCTGGGGGAGTCTTTCGAATCAGATCAATTCAGAAAATCCATGAGGCATATATTTAGTCATGATGAAGAGGGAAATTTGAAGATGTATTTTGATGCAACCATTGAGATAGTGACCACTAAAGATGTAAAAATCTGTGGAGCCCTTGGACCTTGTGTTTCTCTTAAGAAGAAGAATAATTTAGTGAGTGACAATGAGATTGGGGATGGCGGTACTTATATGTGGAAGTTGGGTACACTTACTAATAAAACATGTGTTGCTTTCTTCTTCCAAATAAATGATGAGCATAAACCTCAAGCTGGATCTGCATTTCTGATACAGTTCATAACACGATATAGACATGGGAACATGGGAATCCGGAAAAGGGTGACAACTGCTGCAAGAAGATGGGTTGCAAAGCAGTCACCAGAAATTCCTGCTGGGTTTGATCAAGAAGCAGCAGCTTCAGTTATGGCCAGACTTGCCATCCACCGAGCAGAGACATGTAATGCTAGAGATGTTATCAGATGGCTGGATGATACACTTATCCATTTTGCTTCCAAATTTGGAGACTATGTACAGGAAGATCCTTCTTCATTTCGTCTCTCATCAAACTTCTCTCTTTACCCCCAATTCATGTTCTATTTAAGAAGGTCCCAATTTCTTGATGTCTTTAACAGTACCCCTGATGAAACTGCATTCTTTCGGCTGATGCTGAATCGGGAAGGAGTTATGGATTCAATTGTCATGATCCAACCCACACTTCTACAGTATTCATTTGATGGGCCTCCAGTTCCGGTCCTCTTAGACATTCGCTCTATATCCCCAGATGTTATTTTACTCTTTGACTCTTACTTTTATGTGGTTATTCATTATGGATCCAAGATTGCTCAATGGAGAAAGCTTGGTTATGATAAAGACCCAAACCATGAGAATCTGATGAAGTTGTTGGAAGCCCCGCAACTTGATGCAGGGCAGTTGGTGGCTGAACGAGTTCCACCTCCAAAGCTCGTTAAATGTGACCAGCATAGCAGTCAGGCAAGGTTTCTTCTTGCCAAGTTAAACCCCTCTGTTACTCAGGATTCAACTTACACGGATGGGTCAGATATCATATTTACTGATGATTTGAGCTTACAAGTTTTCATAGATCACTTACAGGCCCTTGCGGTGCAGGGCTAATTATGTGGAGTTCTACACAGCATCTCTTCTACAGGAGGTATGCTTCATAGGGAAGCAGACATACATCCTTCATATTGTTGTATATTGCTTTCAAGAGTAAGGCTGTCTAATTATCTTCACATCATTTTTTCCTTCTAATTGTGAAATTAGGGCTACATAGATTGCTTTAGTATGGTTTTCCAAGTTGAGTGAGTTAAAGCAATTGTCATTGGTCTCTGATCTTTTTGTCATCTCGGCTCCCACACTTGTTCTATTACAACTATTGCATTAAAGAGGAACAAAGTGACGAAGGATTAAGCTTTGCTATGACTTTGCAAATCTCGTGTTTGCTCAAAGATTTTGGCATTACTCTTTACAGAACTGTTTAAGTGTGGCAAAAGGACTAGTGCTAACCGGCAAGACTGGCAGTAGCCATAACTCCCCCAAAGGCAAAAGGAGCATTTCCTGGTGCTAACTGGCCGTAGCGATAACTCTGGTGTACTGAAGTACAGCACGAGAAGATTCATTTCTTTATGTAAATCATCTTCTCTGATGTAATCTGAGCACTGAGTTTTCATAAAATATATAATATTTTCATTGACTTTGGCTAATGGACGATAACATCTTCCAGGTTGCTTCTCCTTTTTCTATGAACCCGTACATTAAAAAACTCCCTAGCGGTTTGCTCCAAGCCGAGATCAATGGACACGTCCCCCCATCCGAACGCCGTGGTTAACGAAACAATTTGTCTTTCTCTCAAATCCTTTAAGTAAAATATCTTAAAGCAGGAAGATGGTTTCTTATTCGATTGTAATTTCCCATTTATATACATATGCGCTGATAAAAGTCAACGGCCTTGCAAAATTTGTTTTTATTATTACAACTAGGTAATAAAAAGTAGTGTGACTTGTCGCCTCCATGTGAAATAAAAGCAAGACTTTCTAACCACCTGACGGTAACTTGGACAACCAATTAATCAACTTCATTTCTTAATCAAGCTCGAAAAAGCAGACAAAGAAAAGAGTCATTTTTTCATCTTTAGGGTGTAGGTATTCAAAAAATTACATTTTATATTTTAAATATTATATTTATTAATTAATGTATAATCTTTCTGTTTAAAAAATAAATTCAAATTTCTCTTCTCTCAAATTTTTTTTTAAAAAAATTTGTACCTCAATTAATAATTTAAATAGTCATTTTTTTCTTTTTATTCCTTGCTCTTGACTTTTTTTAATACATAGATAAAAATTGTTAAATAATCAAATGTTGGTATCATGGATTTTTAATATTGAAAAGAAATGAATAAGTCTTGAATTTATAAATAATTTTTTTATACTTTTTGAATTTTTTTCAAATACGTTTTTTGAGTTAAAAATGTGAATTTACCACAAATTAAAATTAAAAAAAAAAAAGAAGGAGACATTGGATGGATGTTCAATTATTTTGTTTCTTTGATTACGTTTGCCTTTGGCATTAGATACATTACACATATACATACATCACAAACCACTCCAATCATGCCGATATTTGATAAGGTCTATTATGTAACTTACACCTAATTTAATTAATCCAATACCCAATCAATTATGCATTAGATTAATTTAAAAAATAATAATAATAAAGCATTCTTAAAAAAACAAATTAAAAAGCATCAACTTGCTATAGTGCTTGAAGGAACATTAAACTTGACTTTATTAGTCTTATATATATATATATATATATATATATATATTAAAAGTCTTGAGGGGTTTTCACTTTTTCTTTTCAAATTTAATTCTGTTCTTTTTTGTAACCTAATTCGCAAATTTAAAGAAAATGAAAAGTTAAATTGCTGGGAAAATTCTCATCCAAGACTTTGTTAATTACACTGTCAGTGTCACATAGCAAATTGCATTATATAAATTTCTTAACATTCTTGCATATATATATATATATATAATGAAATAGTATTATTTTATTTTCGGAATAAAATTATTTGCAATTAAATTGACTTTTTTGGAATTTTGATCCGCTTCTTGGAGTCACGAAACAAAGGTCCATTTCTCTTGGAAAATTGCTGTGTCATTATCATAACCTAACTGAATTTTTTAATTAATTTTTATTAATTCCTTTTAATAATTTTAATTAATGTCACGTTAAAGATGAAAACCACCGCATGCATAGTTTGCGCAGCTCTATGGTACTTTATTGGAGTTATTCTAAAACGAACAAATTCCCAAGCTCAGGCTTTCCTCATTCTTGTTCGATTTCTATCCAAGGCCTACAAAGACTAGCCCCAAAAAGCCCCTGATTAGACATCAAAAAGGGAGGACAAAGAAACCCACTGTTAAAAGTTACGTTGAAAATGGGGTCATGTTAAAGCAGCCTGGAGAGGGGAAAAAAATCATTTTTGTTGTTTGGTAGATTTTTGAAGGGAATTTTTCCCTTTTTCTCTGCGTGGGGTTGGGTTGGGGGATGTGAGGGTGATGGTAAGAGATGGCGCACGTGGTGCCGGCGGACCCACAGGCGGTGGTGACGGTGAAGAAGAAGGCACAGCCGTCTCGAAGTTGGGTCCTTTTGGACAGCATGGGGGAGACCACCGTGCTCGACGTCGACAAATATGCCATCATGCATCGAGTTAACATTCATGCCCGTGATTTGCGCATCCTCGACCCTCTCTTGTCTTACCCTTCTACCATTCTCGGTCGTGATGGAGCTATTGTCTTAAATCTGGAGGTCTCAAAATTGGCAACTTTTTCAAGTTTTTCTGGATTTTTAGCCCATTTTGTTATTTATTTATTTATTTTTTTGGTTTTTGGATTTGCAGCATATCAAGGCAATTATTACTTGTGAGGAGGTTAGTGAGTTTTTTCCCTTTTGCCGATTCAATTGAGTTTTGTTTTTTTTTTCTCCTTTCTAATTTAAAAACGTTTATTTTGAAGTTCTTGATGATATTTGGGATTAGGAGATGGAGCTATAATGCTATGGAGTGAGTGTGGCTTGATTGATTGGCCTGTTTGAATTAATAGCTTTTCACATAACATTTTTGTTTTTTTTCTAGATAATTTGTCTGTTTCATATATTGGATATTATAGACTACGGTCTGCTATTGGATTTTGGTCGTTTAATCTGTAGAGTGGAGTTTGTTTATTTGGTTTTATAGTGAAAGGATTGGAGCTGAAGGGATTATAAATGAAAGAAGTGATTCAGCCTTTCCTTGGGTGAAACTTTAAATAATTTTCTGGGGTTGAAGGATTCCTTGTATTAAGTAGTGGTTTAGGAGGGAAATCTAAGTTGATGAAGTACGTATTCTCCAAAGACTGCTGATGAAGTGAATACGTGAAATGGAAAGAACTTTAATTATTATGGTTTCTGAAACTAGAATTGAGTTCTTGAGTAAGGAGTACTATGCCTTTTGAATCATATATTCTACTCCTCTAGCCAATAAGTGCTTCTTCAGATCTTTATGGAACTAGTTTTCTATTTACTTCAGGTCAAATAAGCTCTATGATAATGGTAAGGAATTTAAGAGTAGTTTAGATTATGATTTTGTATAGATGCTGATATGTATTGCATTTGAAATAGGTATTGCTTCGAGATCCATCAGATGAATATGTTGTCCCTGTTGTTCAAGAACTTCAGAGGCGTTTGCCTCCAGTGAATGCCTTCCGCCGAGGTCAGGACTATACAGGTGGCCAAAATGATGTTGATGCAGGTGACGAAGATGGTATGTCATATTGATGCAGTAAATCAAGCAGCTAAGTTGATAAACTGCGGAGAACTCATTTGGGATTCCCTGCATTTTCATCCGTAATATAACATCATAATGTTTGATTTTACTTCTTTAACATCTGAATCATCTGTGCCATGTAGAGTCTCCATTTGAATTCCGAGCACTGGAAGTAGCTCTGGAATCCATATGTAGTTTTCTAGCTGCACGTACACTAGAACTAGAGACTGCAGCTTATCCAGCTTTGGATGAGCTTACCTCCCAGGTAATTGATATTTCACATTTACTGTTCTCTTTTGCAAAATTTGAAGAACTTCTCTGCCTATCTGTCATCTGTGCCTGATACTGTATTACCATTTTTAAATTGTGCTGTATGCAGATTAGTAGTCGTAATTTGGATAGAGTTCGTAAATTGAAGAGTGCAATGACCAGATTGACTGCTCGGGTACAAAAGGTAATTATGTGCACTATATACATGTTAATATGTGTATGTGAAACTTTTTTGATCATATGGAGTACTATCTTGTGGTACAATCATTGATGCTTTTTCTTTTTAGCCATTATTTCATTGGAAAGGACAACATTTATAGCTATTCATAGTCAAAATTTTCACATCTAGAAAGGCTGGTCTTTAATGGACAAAGGAAAATAACTTTCGTAGGGGATTGATTAGTTTAGCTATTATTAACGTAGCTAGCTTTTTACTGAAGGGGAAAGCCAGAGAGTTATCTATTGTTTTCGATATGGGTTGGTGAAAATGATTGATTTCTGAGAAAGATTATCAGGGCAAAGAAACTCGTATATGTAAAACATGGAGCATTTAGGTAACTATAATTGTCCATTTCAGAGTTCACTATTTTACTGATGACATCTTCCTGAAAGTCTTAAGTTCTGTCATCCCATAATCCATTAAGTTGCATGCATCTTTCAGACTTACTTGCCTAAATTGTAATGGAGGCAACACATGTAAAATTTCTTATAACATTTCCATAAAGTAGCAAGAGTAATATTGTGATCATCGCCACTTTTAGGTGAGGGATGAGCTTGAACAACTACTGGATGATGATGACGATATGGCTGACCTTTATTTGTCAAGAAAGTTGGCTGGAGCTTCACCTGTTAGTGGATCAGGTGCTGCCAATTGGTATCCTGCCTCTCCTACTATAGGATCAAAGATTTCCAGAGCAAGTAGAGCAAGTATAGCAACAGTTCGTGGAGATGAGAATGATGTTGAGGAGCTTGAAATGTTACTGGAGGTTAGAACAATGATTTACTTCTCACGTTTAATGATTTATCTATCCAAAATGCTAAGTTGGTAGTATTCTGTTTTGCAGGCGTACTTTATGCAAATTGATGGAACATTGAACAAATTAACCACGGTACCTCTTCCCCTTCCCCTTACTTTTAAGTGATCCGAGAGCTGTTCACTACTTACTTTCTTCCTTCTTATAATTTAGATAAACTGTGCTTCTTGTGTCTGCATATCGATTTTAGTTTTTGACCATGATTAGAAATAAATAGATTAGTTTGGACTTTTTCAGCTTATACAAGAAAGCTGTTGTTCATGATCTGAAATCACATTTCTAATTTATTGCTGCTTAATTTGAAATTCCGCAGCTGCGGGAATATATTGATGATACAGAGGATTACATCAATATTCAGGTAGCCATCATAAGCTTGAAACTCAAAATTACTATTGAATCTGTTGTGCCATCTACTATGATTTTTTCTTTTTTTACTTTTTTTGGCTGAGTGGAGCTTATGCTTCCTTTTTTGCAGCTTGACAACCACCGTAATCAGCTAATCCAGGTGCACTATACTTCTTTCTATTACATAATAGATTGATATCAATTGCTCATTTTTCATTCTGAAAAATTGAAGAAAGCTAACCTGTGTGCTGATTTTTGTTGTTTTATGCTCTTTGACAATGTAACAATTGAAAGTGATCGTAAAATATGTTTTACCTTTACTTGTTTGTGCAGTTAGAGCTCTTTCTAAGCTCAGGAACTGTTTGTTTATCCATCTGTTCTCTGGTGGCTGGATTATTTGGGATGAACATTCCGTATACCTGGAATACTAACCATGGATACATGTTTAAATGGGTAAGCAAAGTGTTTCATTTCTATGCCTGGTGAATGGTGATGGAATGTTCATCTGTGTTTTTGCATGACAGGTGGTCCTTGTCACTGGGTTACTTTGTTCAGTTTTGTTCATACTGATTATGTCCTATGCTCGGTTCAAGGGTCTGGTTGGATCTTGAGGTACATGACATCCCATTCTGTGCATCAAAGAAAGTTAGCTCCGTGGAGATTCTCTTATTGCACAATCAAGATATTGAGCAAATTAACATAAAAAAGCTTGTAATCTTTTTACTTTTATTGAAAAAGAAAACACAGGGAAAACTGTTTACAAGCAAAGAAAAAATAAACACATAGTTCTATGCCATATTTTTCTCCTTATTTTCTTCTTATTCCATTTATTTCTCTCTTATGTTTATATTTTTACTTTTTAATTTCCAATAATAGCAAATTTAAAGATTCAAACAATTATATATATATATATATAGGAACTATTCACTTTTTAACCATCAATCAATCTTCACACTGTTGCAGACAGTTTTTTACCCGAATCATTTAATTGTATGGCACCCGTTTGATAACACTGGACGTCGGTTCTTCTTCTTTAATTTATGACCAATCCATAGCTTCCACGTAACGTTCGTCCGCTGTGCGTTTCATAACAGTGTGCGCCGTAATATCTGCAACGAAAGATGCATGGCTCAACTCAAAACAACACGAGAAACGTACACAAATTTCTCCAGAGAAAGAAAGATTAAACAGTTTGAACTTTAAGGTATATATATATATATATGTATATATAAAATAATGTTTAAAAGTTAAAAAACTATAATTATGATATAAAACATTTAATTAAATAGTATATATTAATTTAATAATTATTTTATTTATAAGAACACATTTTATATTTCGAGATGTTTTATTCAATTACGCAAATTAAATTCTTTTGAGGTTTAATTGAATTACATCTTTTATAATTGGAAAAAAAAAGCCTTATTTAAAATTTATGAAGGAGTATAAAATTCGAAGTTGGATAACTATCGAATTAATAATTTAGATTTAAAAAATAAAAAAAATATTTACGACGGAATGTAATAGAATAATAGTCTTCAATGACAAAATTTAGCAGTGATCACCTAGTGTTTATTTGAGACCTAATATTTATTTTCGTCATACCTCAAATTGATATATCTTTTTATAGTAAAAGAGAGAGAGAGAGAGAGAGAGAGAGAGAGACATGTTGATCATGGAGTTGATGTTTGGTTTGTAACTATTGAAAGCCTCGAACGGATCATCGATAACAACACAGCACATTGTCCGAATCGAACAAGGCCAACGTCGTATATTCCAAAAAATCCCAAACGTTTTCTCTCTTTGTTTTTGGTTTTTTTCTTGCCTACCAAACAAACACACCTCCAGAAGCAGTAGAACCCTATTTTGAATCATTAAAAACCTTCCCTTTTCGCTACATTCATTGTACTGTTTTTGTCGTGGAAAATGAGGGAAAACCTGGTGATTCGTTTTGTTTTCGTGACATGCACAGCATGGAGTACTTGAATAATGATAAGCTCCGGCATTAAGAGGAAGGCAGGAAGCTAGTTTTGCCTATTTTTGAATGTTAAGAGCGTTTTCTTTAAGCGTTAGTGTCAGTTGGTAAAGATCGAAGAAGAAAAAAAAGATGATGATGGAAAGAGGGGAGGGGGTTTCGAAGGTTGCTAGAGAGAAGCTCGTGGCATGCATGACATGTCCCCTTTGCGATAAGCTCTTCAAAGATGCCACCTCCATATCTGAATGCCTTCACACTTGTGAGTTTGTCTCTCATTCTCTGTTATTCAGTCATTGTATTTTGGATATCAATTTTCCTTATTTGTTGTTTGGAGTTGATTGTCTTGTGGTCCTTGGTATACATTGGTTGTTTTGTAATCTGGGTATCTCTTGATTTCTCATTCATGTTTTTATAATTTTGGTCTCATTTGTTCTGAGTTTTAATATTCAATGTATGGGAGTCTAGATGGTTACAGGGGAAAATATACAAATTTCATTGATATTAATATAAAGTTATAAAGTTGAACTTGGCATTTGCAGTACGTACAGTATGTTAACTGAAGAGCTAACTTTTTTGAATGTTTTGTGGAATAGTCTGGGGAGGACCATTAATTTCTCACCATTATCGTGAGAGAGTGTTTTCAATGAGGGAAAGGTACGGTAAATTCGTTTCAGATATAGTAATTTAGGGGTTTTAATGGTTTGTAAGTGCTTAAAGAAGTTTCTCAGAGCAATGCCCTGGCTCAGCCTCTGCCTATGTCTTCTAAGTTTGAGAAAATGGAAATGTTTACTGGCACTGCTGATTGGTTAGATGACTTTAACTGTAAATTCTTGGCTGTCTGGACTCATCTCAGTATAATTATAATATATAGTAATCTGTTCGAGGATTGGGACCTGGGATGTATGTTTCAACTTCATTTAGGACGTCTATTTGGGGGATTACTAGAAGCTTCAGCTGGCTGCTTTGTTTGCATTACCATGAACTTGTAACTGCACTGAAGCTAGGCCCAGGACTACTGTCCCATAGAGAGAGTTCAATTTGTCAATTTCATTGGAACTTTCATGAATTTTATGTTACAATTAAGGTTAAACAATCTGTGTTTTCATGTTGGCACAAGTTCCTTTTACTGTTTCATTCCTTTTATTAAGGTTAATCAGTATGTATTTAAGCTTGCAGTCTTTGGAAATGCCTTGTTTGAATAATATTATGCACATGAGCTGAGCTGTAGCCAATGGTGTGTTACATTTAAGTTTCATGAACACTTTGATTGTAGCAAGTTTCTTACTGCAGAGTATTGATTAATGAATGATGTTTCATGCATGTTTCTGAAACTTTAAATACAGTTTGCAGAAAGTGCATATATGAGAAGATTACAGAAGAGGAGCTAGACAGCTGTCCAGTTTGCAACATTGATCTAGGTTGTGCTCCATTAGAGAAACTCAGGTATTTGACCAGCCTGTTGTGACATGAATTATGAATGTCATATTCAGCTATTTGCATGGTGCATATAAAAGAGAAATCAGAGAATGAAAAAATTTAAATGAAAACAAGAATTTTAGTCACTTCCTGAATTCGTCCAGTCAATTCATTCTCAATGTATTGCTTTAGTGATGTAGCTCCATTTTTAGGCTACTAGACGCTATTAATTTTCTTGTCCTATGCTTTGGTAATGAAACCATAGTAGTCAAACTTTGATGAATTTTATAGGATTAGTTTCTGGTATTATTTAAACACTGATAACAATGAAGCAGCCTCCCCTGGCAGGGGAGACTTCTTTCTCCTATCAGAGTTGTGTATGCATACAACATTATTTTCTGAGTAGTTGAATTTTCCATCATACTATTAGCAAAATGATAGTCATTCCTCAGAAGTTCATTTTACCAATTTAAAGGCAAATTAAACATGGAAACCAAGTTTGAGAATATGACATTTTTGGTGCTTCACATATCTGCAGGGCAGATAACAATTGGCGAGAAATAAGGATCAAAATCTTTCCTCCCAAACGACAGAAACCCAAGGAATCTGAAAAAATGTCCCTAGTCCCATTGCCGGCTAGAAGAAAGGAGAGATCTCTGTCTTCGCTAGTGGTCAGCACACCTAGAGTATCAGCAAAGTCTTGTTTGACAGGAAGAAGATCAAAGCTTACTGCAAGAAAGACTATTGCAAGCCAAGAGCCTTCTTTGCTCAATGAGGAACATGTTTCAAAGCTGGAAGGTCTCCTAAGCTCACCTGAGACCTACAGCAAGATTGCCCAAAATAGTAGGCAGGTAAATGACAGCATGCTTCAGTTGGTTTATGTTTATTGCCTGCTTACATTTTTTTTTGTCAAATAAATTAATAATATGCCTTTCTTTCTGCATTTTTTTCCTTTGAAAATGGAGTGCTTTCAATTTTAAAATTTAACAGTTAACTATTATCTAGCAGAATTTTAATGTTGGGGAGTCATCCAAGCAACATGCGCTGGATAGAAGCACTGCTGAAGCATTAGAAGAAAAAGGTGATTTGTGGAAACCCTTAAATCACCTAGTGGAAGCAGCGAGTAAAACAAAGCCTAACAAGGTCAACTCACAGGGGAGCATTGCCAAACCAGCACCCCATGCCCCTGGCAATGAAGTAAATCTCCTCAATGTCAAGGAATGTGGTACAGGATCGAATATTCCCAGTAAAGAAAATGACTCAACACCTGAACCTTCAACTTCAGCTAGACCAAGAAGGTCTCGAGGCATCCGACAAAAGAGAGAAGCTGTCTCTGAGAGGTTGAATATTCCAGTACAAGCTGTGGTTGATTCTAGCAATAAATATGATGGGAGATTCAGTCCAACATGGTTCTCCTTAGTTGCTTCTAAGAACCAGTAAGATTATAACTTTTAAAAAGATTTTATTCTTCTACTTCAACGTTGAGTTTTCAATTCTTACACTTAGTTTTCAGGGAAGGAGATGCACCTCTGCCTCAGATATCTTCGTGCTACTTAAGGGTTAAGTGAGTTTCTTTAGCTTTACCTACTCTGTGCTTGAGTGCATTTGCATGTCAATTTTGTAGCCCCTGAAAAAGGAAATCTTATGATTGAAAAAGTGTTTTTGCTGCATCACATTCTTCAGTTTGGTAGCAATCCAGGCTTGATATATTCCATTTATAAATAAATGTGGTTGGTTAAACTTGAATATACTTGAAATTGTTTGGTTTACATTAAAGTTTTCTTACTTGGGATAGTCTATGTGTCACTATATGATTTTCTTGAGTAGCCAATGCTTCTTGTTATATGGTTGTATATCTATTTATCCACTGAATATCAGAATGCTGTTTCCAGATTGGTGGAGAATTTGTATGTACCAGTGTATGTGTATAGGTTTTGTTTCTTTATATTGTGTACACTTAAGTGCCAAAGGGAGTTCTTCACCTTATAATTTAAGATTTGAGATCAAAATATGCAATCAGGAAATACATATGGTGGCATTTCAAAGTAGTAAAGGAAATACATGAGTTGAAGATTACTGTTAGTTGAATGAATGTATCTCCTCTACTTTCATGTATGCCAAAACTTCCTTCTGGTTCAATGAGGAAGCCTTGGTTAATATGCAGAAGTTGACGGCTTTGGTTCTTTTACAATTTTAAACTAAAGGATGGGATAGAACATTAGGAAAGAAACCTTCATTTTCAAAATTCCAGTGCCTGTCATCACGTGTTCACAAGGTGATAGGTTCACCCAGCTAGCATTCAATCAGCAATTAAGTCCCATGAGCACGGAAGGCTTAAAAGAGTTTAATGACTCAATATGGTTGCTTTCGTTATAGACAGAAATAGGCGGAAGTTTCAAATGGGGTCACTAATTCTTTTTTGCTATTTGATCATTATCAGTTTAAAGTTTCTGATTGTATCTTTGAATCTAGGCTGTTATTCAGATATTCTTATGTCCGGTGTCTTTTGTTCTTCAACCATGTTTATAGGTTATTACTGGCAATGACATAACTGGTAAAACTTAACACAAACATAAAACGGATTGGCATCATTAAACACTAGCTCATCAAGTATAACTGATCATGAATTTCATCTCATAGGAACTTCTGCTATTCTGTTTGACAAATGCACGATATTAGGCATTTTTAAAGCTATTGCGCAGTGGACCTTGTCATCTTGTTTCTTAATCCACTCCCAGTGTGGAAACCTTGACTGACATCGTTATTGAGCAACTGTTAGTAGAGATGTTTCATATGGATTCTTCTTAACACTTGTAGGGATGGGAATTTACCCGTTTCATCAATCAAGAAGTATCTCGCAAGAAAACTAGGCCTTTCCAGTGAGACCGAGGTAAATTTAGTAACTCTACCCAGTTTTCACTTCTTTGTTTCAATTTTACCTGTACTTTTCCTTCGTATGTGCTAATAACCATGTAGTATGAGAACTTGTAATTTTGATCTTAGTTGCTACCTGGAATTCTTTAGGTGGAGATCTCTTTGCGGGGACATCCAGTGCTTTCTACACTGCAGCTGCACAACCTAGTAGACTGGTGGGTGCAGACAACTCCAGCATCAGAAAGAATACAAGCATTCGTCGGCAGCTCAGCCAAAGATTTTGTTATGGTGCTGTCATACAGTCGAAATGCTCGACCCCCTTAAAGCATAATCCAGCGATGCTTTCAATGGTTTCTTAGTCCATGCAGCACAGCAAAGCAAGACTTTCTCTGGGGGAAAATGAGTTAAATATTCATTTTGTCTCTATCTTTACAGTCATATAACTACAAGGCATGCCATTCGGCTTAAGTCTTTGGATAGAGTTCTTGTCCAGCTTAAATTTTTCTTGTTCTTCTCGACTTCATTGTAATGGAATGAGATTTTAAGCGAAGAAATTCTAGTTTGAATCAAGAATGACATTTATAAATAAACGAAAAACATTGTACTTTCCAATACCTCTTTGTCTTTTCATTTCTGACTTCTTGTGTAGCTCTTCTCAAACTTGAAAAGAAATTATTGAAAGATAATTTGTGTCACATAAAAGCCAGAGACAAGAAAGAGAGAGAGAGTGATTACGTTAAACTGCCAAAGTCAGTCCACTCCAACTTTGACCTTATCCACAATTGAACTTACTAAATTCCCATGCCAAAGGAGAGAAAAGTGAAACCTTTTACAAGGGAAAATTTAAAGGTAGTTGGGACAGTTGGGAGGTATACCTTATATGATAGTATGTAGGCCGGTTACAACTTACACCTTGCATATGCATATAAATTATTCAGCAATAATACAGAACCAGTTCCTGCTATTTCCCTCAGCTGATTGGTTTTGTTCTGTCCCATGACTGTTTTGTATGAAGGGTCGTCACTTACTGGGGCAGTCCTTAATGGGTAATGCCCTTGAAAGCTTTTGCTACACTAAGCTTCTAATCATCTTTCTGAGGACAAGCTGAAGCAGCTGAAACTTCAATCCTTGTAACCTCAAGCCCACGTTGCAGGGCTCTCACCAAGAGCTGCTGCATGCATGGGGATTCCAGCAGAAGCTTTCCAAGGCAGTCCTGCATTATTTCTGACAATCCCTCAAGACTCTCCTTTAGCAATCCATACTACAATAGAGTAGAGAAACTGCCATAAGGAGCTTTCCATCTACAAATAATCAAGTAAAATGTTTACAGCAAACTAAAGTATTCCTAGGGGAATCTCCTAAGTTTGCACCAAGCTTCATTTGCACACGTTGAAAGCTTCTAACTATAACAGCCAAAACCAGTATCGTATTCATATCAACAGACACTATCTTCAGAAAAATGCCGCAACAACCAATCTACCTCTTCATTCCAAGTATTTTAACTATATGTTTATAAAACATCCACATAAACCAAGCTTCCCAGACTTGAAGAAATCACAATTCGACATGACAAAACAGATGCTTGAGAGTTTCATCTTTCACAACTTCACAAATGCTACAATCTCATACTAGTTTAAGCCCCTTTACAGAGAAACAAGATGTACTCAGTTTGTAGTAGTTTGTACCGAATTCTCAACTCTCAGCAAGCTTAACAGCACTCTTCCTATTACCCTTACTACCATTATGACTAATTCTAGAACATAACGTATTAATAATATGTAAAACAAGAAAGAATTCGTAGAAGTAAAAGAACACAACAATTTCAACTGAATTTTCATTGCCAACAATTAGACTACATCAAACAATTTTTGCAAATGTACAATGTTCAAATCGGTAAAATCAGCTTTAAGAAAAGTGTAAAACCCAAGAATCAAATACCACTGTAATCCCCCCTGGGGCTATCAAGCTCCTCATCCCCACCAGCAAGCACGTGTCCATACGGCGACTCCAAATCATCCATCACCAAGTCGTCCGTACTCCTCAACGCCGCGTGCAAAATTACCATACTAGCCCCGATCGCAACCGCCGCCAAGACATTTAGCCAAACACCGGTCAAAACCAGTCCCGCCACAGTCAAGCCGAAGAGCGCAGCGATGACGAGCCGTTCGTCGATTGTGAGACCGAAGATCACGACGGGCTCTTCGCGATCGCGGGCGAAGTAGAGGAAGAACCAAGCGAGAAGGATGACGAGGAAAGTGAGGAGAGAGAGAGGGTGGTAAATCAGCGATAAGAAGAGGATTAACAGCAGGATTACGGTGTAATTAAGGCGAAAATGGGTCAGGTTTTGGGCTATTCGTGTAGTGACGTCGGAGAAGGAGGATGGGAGGTCGACGGCGGTGATGTCGAGGAATTCTCGCCATGGACGATGGATCGCGGTGAGGGATTGGGCGGTTTCTTTTAAGCTAGAGATTAAAGTTGACATTCTTTTCGGTGAAGTAGATTAAAAAAAATAAAAGCCCAAAAAACGAAACCCTAATATTTGAAGTCAGAAAGGGGGAAGAGGTTTCTGCATCAACGTTCAAAGATGTTTCTTTGGGGAGAAGAAGGTCAAAAGAGCGTGTTATATAGAAAAGCTAGGCCTGTGGCCGAGCCCGTAGGAGCGGTTAATTTTTTATTAAATATGAGATGAGTTGAGTTGAAAATTTTTGACCCATATTTGAACCGGAGTCTAGATGGGTCAGTCCATCAAATCAATGGGCTGATGTGGGCTGAAGCAGGGCCAGCTCATGGGTCAAAAAATAATTTTAATTAATTTAATAATTTATATATATTAATTATGAAAAATCAATAATTTAGTACCAATAATATTGTTTATTTTATATATTTCAATGTCTTTAATCTTCACTTGTCAAATTAAAAATTTTAATTTAAATTAAAACTTATTATCTCTTTTTCTTTTATGGTAATGAATATTAGATGATAAATTGATAATAATTCAAACCTTGAGACATCATTGCTGTCTAAATAAGATTTAAATGTTTTACTGAAAATGAAGATTGAGGAGGATATAAATGACTTTGAAATTTTATTATTTGGTTATATACTTATGTTTATAAGATAGTAGTTTGTGTTAAAGATTTAAACTTTATTATGTAATTTATTTATTTTTTATATTTAGTGTAATTTATTTATTTGTAACATGTTTTTATAATTCAATTTATGAATTAAATCATAAACAATTTTATTAATAAAAATTTATCAAGTAAAATTATAAAAATTAATTTTTTTTGAAAAAAATAAAAATGAGCTGGCCCAACTCAATTTCATGGGCTAACAAAGGGTAGGCTGGGTTAAGATTTTAATAGCCCATATAAAAAATAGACTGACCCGACCCAACTCATATTTTTTTAATTCACAAAGGTTGGGGCCGGGCTGGGCCTGACCAGCCCATATTGATAACTCTAATAAAAGCGTAACCAACTTTTCGTTGGAATTCTGGCCCAATTTAATTTGTGAATTATTTTTAATTTGTAAAACACGTATACGAATATATTTAATAATTATGAAACACGATATGACACTAATAACACATATATTAAATATATTTAAAAATTTTATATAAATACGATTAAATGATTAATATAATTTTTTAACACATTAATATATTTAACACGTTTAAGATAATTAATTTAAAATATTTATAATTAAATATAATTTTATTATTTAAAATTAAAATTAATAATTATAAAAATAATTATAATAAAATAATAATAACATCACATATAATAAAATTTAACATATATAACATACACATAAACTTCATTATCATACTAATAAAATTCATCGTTAATATTCAACGTGTCACTTATACACGTTTAAATACGATAACACTATTAATTAAAATTATTTTAAATATGTTAATTGTGTTGGCACAATTAAAATACGAAACACGATATAATTAAATTAAAATTTATTTAATTTTGTGTTTTTTTATGTTGTGTTCAAAATTACTAAGTTTAAGTTTGTGAAAATTAATTTATTTTTTGCTTTAAATTAGAAAATCAAACATTCATATAAGTTTATGGAAGTCTCATCATGACCAGTGCATTGCAATTAGTGATCGAGCAATTTCTTTTCAGCTAGCGATCTAAGTTGAAATTTTGAAAAGGTAGGAAACCTCAAATTCTGGAAGCAAACTTATGATAGATATATGATAGAGATATCCATGGGTTGGTGTACGTGTTTACGGGTTGGGTTGTTCACCCAAGCTCATAAGTTGTAATGTTAATTCAATTTTGGCCGGGTTTGGCTATAGATTTTAAGCTTAAGCTTACCTCGAATCAGTCTCTTAAATTATTTTATTAATAAATAATATATGTTTTATTTTATTTAATTTACAAATATATTTACAATATTAATATAAAATTATTATTATATTATTTGATAATGAAACCATGTGAAGATGGCCTTTCATGGTTAGGCTCAACTTTTAAAAATGGGGGCTCGGCCTGAATCTAGCTCTAGCTTGGGCTTAACCTTTTAAAAGAAAGGTTTGATGAGGTGGACCTGAGCTCAGTCTATAGACAGCACTCTAGCTTTTGACATATGAAATTTTGTTTGATAAAGAAATAAGAACAATAACAAATATTACTAATTCAAATGTGATATAGATAATGAATGTATGATTTTAATTAGTACTACTTCTTTTTGTTAGTTTCAAAGTGTTATTAATTTTTTTCTTATTTTCATACTATCTTGATTCATTTTAATTTTAATCAATATTTATTTATTATATTCAAATTTTATGATTTCAGTGATGTCACATTAAAATTTCATGATAATTTGCACATATTCCAGTGTACAAAATCATTATAATACATTTAAATTAAACTTTTATATGACAAATTTGATAAACTTTCTTTCGCAAGCGTCACGTCTCGAAATCAAGACCTAACATATAAATTATTTTAAAATATCTTTGATATATAAAATAATTATTTATAAGTGGAGTGTTTCAACCAATTTAAATATAAGATCACATAAAGTAAGGGAGAGGGAAAGAGAGAATTATAAGTTAAATTGCACACATGATTTTCGTTTATCCCTATATTACACACATGTTACGTGGTACACGTGACACTAACATGCTTTTCTTTTATTACTATAAATATAAAATTGAAATAAAATAACAAGTAAAAAACAGTTATCCGAATAAAGCCAAAGAGAGGATAGCAAGACATGGACAAAGAATGTAAACAGAAAAAATAAAAAAGAAAGAGCTGGAGCAAGAGACCTTTATTTTTTATTGGCAAAAGGGTGTCTAAATTAAGTTGCAATAACAAAAATGTAATAATTTTTTTTATTTTTAATTATCTTGACGGCAACACTATTTATCATCTAAATCAATAATTTTAAATATATATATATTTAGACATGACACAATAATATTAAAAGGACATCAAATAAGAGACAATATGAGTAAAGGAGATTTATGTACTTTTAAATTTTAACATATTTTAGGAAGAAAGTTAAGGATGAAAATTTTAAATTGGGTCAACTTCTATTTTTCTGAAAATTTTAACATATTCTATGGTGCAATTTTCTGAGTAACTTGAGAATATCATAGAGAGAGAGAGAGAGGTGGAAGAAAATAAATAAATGTAAAAAAATTAAAAAAATAAGGAAAGAAAAAAACTAGAAAAAGAATAACATTAAGTTACACACATGTGCTGCATGGCTAACTTACTGATTTGACAAATCCGGTAAAGTTTTTAATGATTAACTAATGGATAAATGATTTTGGCATATTAAATTTTAATTAATGAGTAATTAAAATTTTTAAATTTTTATCATGAATAAAAATAAATTTTTTAAAAAGGACACACCAGGGGTATATATACTTGTCTTAAAGTTCGAAACTTTAATTACAACGTGAAGGACAGCATAATTCATTAACTAATTTAATCCTGTAGTTAGACATATGGAACCGTGAAGAATTGCATAGAACACGCAAAGTATAAACTACATAAAGCATAAAGCAATGCACAAATTAAATAAGTTACCTTTAAGCTTCATTTCGCTTATATAAATTTCAAGAAGATGATAAGTTTTTACATGCAAAAAATAGAGTGCATTTTAAAATTATTTTTTAATTTAAAAGAAAGAAGGTTTTGAATTTAATTTTTTCAGTGAGTGATATATTGTATCTAATACGAGTCAAATGCTCGTGGCTAATATTGTTTATTTATTATCTTCAATCTTGGACTCTTATTATTTTGTCTTTTATGTCTTGATCATTCCTGCAGATAACTCAGCAAAGTGGAGCTCCAGGGAGTCAGTGTGCTGACCTTGCCCCACATGGATCCCTCAAGCTCCATTTCCTCTGAACTTGCTATAGACGAACAAGCTATGCAAGGAGAGATCACCACCCGTTTGGAAAGTGAATTATACAAGGCTGCATTTGATGGCAATGTGGAAGCATTCGATGTTTGCCCGGGCTCTCTTCATTGCCTAGTGACCCCAAACCGAAACACAGTGCTCCATGTTTATTTGGCATCGCAAAATTACAAGATTACACTCATTGGTTTAATTCCATTTCCATATATTTCTTTTAAAGCCCCAGCCAAAATTTTAAGATCCGCCAACTTTGTTGGCCAAATTCTTAACAGGAGCCCATCACTGCTACTGAAACCCAATGCCAAAGGTGAAATTCCTTTGCACATTGCAGCGAGGTTTGGGCATGCTAACATAGTGGAGCTTCTTATCAAGCGCGCAAAAGCTGAATACAGAGACCTGGAGAACGGGATAGAACCAGCGAAGCAGATGCTGAGACTGACGGATAAGGAGAAAAACACAGCTTTGCATAAAGCAGTTCGATATGGCCATTTGGATGCGGTGCATGCATTGATTCGAGAAGACCCTGATTTCCCATATTCTGTTAATAAAAGCGGAGAGAGCCCCCTTTACATTGCAGCTAGGAGAGGATATAATGGCTTGGTGACAGTGATATTCGATAAATGCGAATCCGTTAATCATGATGGCCCTTGTGGTAGAACAGCTTTGCATGCAGCAGTTATGGCTCCTGATATAAGTAAGTTTACGGGAAGTAATTTGTTTTTTGGCTTTAAAGATAATCAAAAATTCATAATAAGTCAATAAAATACAGGTTTTATGGCAAGTGACTTTTTATTATTATTATTTTAAAATTTTCATTCAGGGAGTACAAGAGAAATCTTAAGGAAGAGAAAGAATTTGACAAAAGCAGCAGATGAAAATGGACAGACTCCGCTTCACTATGCTGCACATTTCGGTTACCACAGAATTGTGAAGCTATTGTTGGAATGTGATGAATCTGCAGCGTACATAGCTGATAAAGAGAAGATGACACCTCTTCTTCTGAGAGCTAGGCAAGGCTATTACGTGATAGTGATGGAGATTATCAACCATTGTCCGGGTTGTTGCGAAATTGTGGACAAAAAAGGCTGGAACTTTTGTCACTTCGCTGCCGTTTCTTCACTTATCATACATCTATATGATATGTTCCTTCCGGCGAACAACTTATACAGTTGTAGAAGATTTCTGGACGAGGAAGATATCCATGGAAACACACCTCTCCAGGTGTTGGCTGCTTCCCGCGAATTAAGTACTTTCATTGTTCACACGATTAAAGATGATGTGGTAACGACTTCAAAGGAGAACCTTGATTCCAAGAAAAAGGTAAATACAAATAACATTTGCCACATTCAGAGCCATGATATGTTTCTTTCATTTTTCATTTTTAAAAAAACCATTATGTTTCAAATTTCAAGTGCAGATAATTTCAACAATGTTTTCAACTCTGATAATGCTTCCTCAAAAGGATAAGGAATGTGGTTGTAGGAACAAATCTCACAATTATTAAACGAAGTCGGTACTGGAGAAGTAGCTGGTTCAGCAGTTAATCCCCTACGCCATAATACGATAGACCTGAAGGGCTTTGATAAGGCAAGAGAGGCTCGTTCAGTGGTGGCAGCGCTTATCGCCACCGTAACATTCGCCGCAGCAATTGCCTTACCCGGTGGTTACAAGAGTGATCAAGGCACAGCAATCCTGAGTCATAACACTGCTTTCAAAGTATTTGTTATAGCAGATGCCATAGCCATGGTTTTCTCTTTGTTAGCTATCAACTTTAACTATCTGTCCGCGACTCCCATTATAGTTGCAACAAGAAGACGATACGGAGCTTTTCAATTTAGCCTCATGGCGATTTTCGGCCTACTTGGTGAAGTAGCTTTGGTGGTAGCTTTTGTTGCAAGCTTATATGCGGTGTTAAAATCTTCCTTGATACTTGCTATTAGCGCTTGCACCGTTATCTTGGGCTTCTATTTCTTTTATTTTTGGTTGTATTATTTCGTGATGATGTTAGACTATTAGACCAGTTGTTTTATTGGCTTGAATATATTTAAATCAGCAGACAACCATTATATATACCATAACAAAGGTTTCATGTCAAGAGGATTTGCGTTCCCTTTTTGATGTGTACTCGCCCTCTCAAATTCGGGTGTGGCAGCTGTTTAGCTTTACTAATTAATGAAATTTATTGTTTGAGCAAAAATAACTTATCTTGAACGTAGCTAGTTTTATTAAAAACTTACATATTACTGAATAGAATAGCTTACCTTGAAGATATTAGAGTAAAAATATGTACCCTGCTCTCTTTTTTTAACATTTATCATGCACAATTTTATTTATTTATTTCGTGTCTGTTATATATGAGAAAATTAGAAGGGGAGACGGGATTCGAATATTAGATCCTTAACCTCAACTCTCCTAAGGAGGAGGTAGCAATCATTAGGGCTTTCATCTTTAATCAAAAGAAAAAGAAAATCAAGGCATTTCCATCAAAACAATTATTATTCCCTTATTATATTTGTAGCATCTAAATCCAATAATACCTTAAGAATTAAATGATTATCAATCAATATATTAGAACATTTATTTATAATTAAAATGATCATCAGTCAATTAAATAGATACGTATAAGGTAACTAAATGATGATCATTATACTGTATAATGTTTAAAGTGCATGAAACTGTCGCATTTATGCATAATATCTAAAGTTTTTTTTTTTTTATCTTTAAACAAGGTAACTTGATATTTTCTTCTTAAACAGAAATATAATAGTTTGTATTTATTTCTTTTGGTACATATAATAGTCAGTATATATGTTAATGTAGAGTTTAATTGGCGGAACATGATAAATATGTGAAAAATAGAAAACCATTCTTTTGTCACAAATAAAAATCAAATTTTCTAAAATTTCTTTTGCACTCAATCATTAGTTTTATAAATTACATATAATATTTTATCTAAAATTATCTATTTATAATAAAACAAATAGCAAATTGTATGTAACTCTCTTATTATTTTAAATTAATATTATACAAACTATATGCAATCTCAATCATTTATATATGTGACATCTATTTGGATTTCATGCAAATTCTATAATGATTTTAAACAATTTGTGACTGAAATTAATAATTTCAAAACCATAATAATACAAAAATTTGAACTTGATATGAATTTCTTTTTCGATTATAAATAACATTATTATGTGTGATTTAAAACATGTATAATATTTAAAAAAGCTTTTAAACTATTTTAAAAATAAAATTTTATGCTTTTGTTATGTTTAATTAAATTTTTATATTTTATTTTAAAATAAATAAATTTTTATAATTAATAGTTGACCAACTATTATTAATTAAAATAACACTTATTATTTTTATATCAGATGTCGTTAATGTGACAAGTTGACATCACCTTCCACATGATAATAACTGATGACGTGGCATTATGATATGGTCATATGATAGCCTCACTTCCTCCTCAATGTCACATAATTTCTAATCAACAATATTTAATGTCACATTATTTGGCATAGTAACAAAATCAAAATGACAAGTCACTTACTATGTAGTAGATAATGTGATATAAAAATATGAACTATTCTATTGACAAAAATGAGAATGACTGATTTGACTTTAAATAAAAATTTAAGAGCTTAATTGAACGTAATAAAAAAATAAAAATTAAATTAAATTTTTAATATAGTTTAGAGACTTATTTGAGCATTTAATCTTATAAAAATTACTATTATTATTTTAATTAATGATAATTAATTAACAATTAATCATGTATTTTTATTTAATCTAAAATATAAATATAAATTTAATTAACATAAAAATAATTTATTTAAATTTTTTATATAATTTAAATTTTTTTTAAACATTATGTCACTTATCTATGACGATGGTGTAGGCCCTCTTTACATGATTTTGGTTTCCTTTAACATTTTTAAGGAAATTACAACATATTTGTTGAATAATCTTGTTCATCTTCACCCGTGTCATATAATAATAATATTCAAATGTCACAATTTCTTAAAGTAAGAAGTCCCATAGGCCTTTGGTAGGAATAACCTGCACATGCACTTATCCCTAGTAGAAAAAGTTTAAAATATTAACTTTTTACATTTGTCTATTTTTTAATTTTAAATTTATTTTAATTTAGTGAGAAAAGGTGAGAGACAGTTTAATGAAGAGAAAGAAATGGTAAAAAATGAATAAATTACATTACATATAGTACAATAATTTTTCAAGATTAATAAGAAACATTTTTATCTATCATTTTTTTTTTCTCTATTCCTTACCTTTGGAATAATCAATAGCAAGGAAGTCTTGATATTTGCTATTCTCTTATATTCTTAGTGGTCAATCCATGAAATGGTCAGTATTCCTTCCCAACTAAACATATTGTAAATAGACTTAGCTATAGGACTTGAGAAACTGACATGTCAAATCAGAACAGAGAAGCGAAGAGAGGGTGAATGTAGTAATTGAAAGGCAAAACTCGGTATCGAATTTCGAATAACAAACTTCTTACGATGGCTTTAAATTTTGCATTTTTCTTAGATAAGAAGACTGCTTTTTGGGCGGCTCATCGAAGTTTCGCCACTCATGCATGGCAGCCACTAGTTTTAATGCGTATCTAATCAACCCCAGATGTAAGCTTAGTGATTAAAATTAAAGCTGTGCAGGAGATGCATGGCCAATAGTTAACAACCACCTCACAGATTTAAAGCTGAATTCCCTTAATTGCATCTATATCTGAATGAGGAAGGATTATATCCCTCTTTATTATTATTTTTCATTTTTATAATTCAAATACCAACCACAGCAATTAATATATGCTCTGCATAACAGCTGCATCAGGACAACGTCATCATGCTGCAGGACATGTATCACTGAAACTCTGAATTCCGCTCACTCGACATGGAAGTAGGAAGTAACAACAGTTCCTTTCAATTTCAAAGGTGACCGGAAAATTATGCATATTTCAAGCACAATGACAAATGAAACATACATTCACCTCAATATTGGCTCATTCGTTCAGAGTCAAGACTACAGAATTCCTACATTGTGCGGATACGTCCACCTGCATGACCCCTAATCTTTACAAGAAGGGTGGAAGGTAATTTAACAAATGTACATATATATACTGACTGCTTGCATTACCCAGAAACATTTCTTCATCACTCTGAAACCATGAAAACAAATGTATAAACACATTAACTTTTGCTATACAACCATTCATTCACAGGTCCAATTCATCAGACCATGGCAAGGAAATTGGTCCAAGTGAATCGGCATTTAGGCTGGCAAGCAACTCAAAGTCCCTACTTGCACTTATCCATCTTACTGCAAGCACCAAGAAACAAACCACAACATCCTTCTCTATCTTTGAAAGGTCATCACTTACGAAGACTGGTTTTGCACCAGGCACATAGTGGTAATTCGGCATTTTCCAAGCTGACAGATAAGCTATTCTCACAGGTCCACATCTCAAGAACACACCACGATGACATATGTGGTGTACAACTCCTTGCAATACTTCTCCCTTGAAGGGCTTGAAGGTCCGACAAGTAAACACCACAGTGAAGACCATATTCCCTGAGTCATCCACAACATCACCTTTACCTATACTCTTCAAGCTAGTTACAGAAAGAAAGTAACCATGATCCTCACTGGCCTTCTCCTTAAACAGGTCCTCAAGTAGGCATACAAGAATGGACCTCCGCGAAACCAGTCCTCCTTTATCCAAGTTTCCAGCATGCACCTTCACATCCCTTTGCAATTCCACTTCAGAAAACATATCTTGTATCAACTTCAGAAAGACAAAAAAAAAAAAATCAGAATCAATAGAAAGGTCACAACAAATTAAACATCCGCTTCTAGAAAAGAACTTGTAAGACTCAATGATTAAAACAGAAATAAATCAGATGACATACGAGGTAAATCAAGTAATTACAATAAGTGTTCAAACTATGAGGAATTAATGGATTAAAGGTTACAGAGAAAAATATGAAAGAAACAAAGTTGGGCCATGACATAATGATATTCCTCAGAAAGCTGGTCTGAAATTTGAGGAAAGTAAAATAGATTATGCTAGCACCTCTGTTAACAATTATACCAATGCCCTCCTCCACTCCCACCAAGCATCATGCACGTGAAATGGAAGTTTCATGAAGGTTCACATATGCAACAAGTTTATAATTTTATCAGAAAGCTAGATCTTTCAATAGGAAGCCCTTTCAATATGATGAATAATGGGCTTCTGTCAAGCAAAAACATGATATACAAAGGTCATAAGCATGCTCTCAATGTTTTTTAATTTTCTTATAATTTTTTGTTGTTTTGGCAAGAACTACTTCCTGAAATACTTCGGCCAGAAGGGTATGAAGAGATGAGAACATATTTGCACACATCTATATCACCCATGACCCATCCTTTGGCTATAAAATTATACACCAAGCTGTTTAATACAAGAAAGAAGCCATCACCATTGCTGGATTTCTCTCTGAACTAGCGCACCAGTAGGCATGCTTCAATACCTCCACAAAACCAGCCCATTTGTACCCTAGATTCTAGCAAGAACGGGAAGATCACTTGATGATTCATTTCACTTTCATCTCTACTTAAAAAAGGTCAAGATAAACAGGACAAACAAAAGGACATCATCATAAGCCAACGAGCCTGTTTAACAAATGCATCTTCCAAATGATTGAAAGGAATATCAATCAGCCAAAGCACATGCCATTAAATCAAGTCATTCAAATAAAGGTCTAAACTTTGAATAATAAAGCGATTATATATTTAGGTAAAAAATAATGCAACCAAAAGCCAACTGAGAGACATCCAGCTATTTGGTAATGACAATGGTGGAAATATGTAAAAAGGGACAATGTATAAATTCCCTGCATATATGAGATTCCATAGAATTACTCATTTCAAGTTTTCAACTGTTCACAAATGGCTAAAAACAGTTCATCTCAGCAGAATGAATCAGATCTCTGGTTTTCATCTCTCCTCTAGGAAGAGATAAAACCGGTGCAAGTCAGTTCTTAAGGCAGCTGATTCTGAAACTTCCAAGAATCAAACTAAATTGTATCAGCATCCCCCTATGCCATGACGACAGCTACCATCTTCATAGCATTTGCAGAAGCAACAACATTACAAGGGAAAGCCTTGTTTAGTAATTAAGGGTCATGGCATCAACCCGTTGCAAATTGGATATTTCCAGACCAACATTTCTGAAAGAAATTATGGGCAAAAGAGATTCTCTTTCCACCTTAGTGCTAAAACAGCAAACACCAATCCTTTGAACTTGGACCAGATAAGTTTCAAAATTTAATATTTTCTATTGCACCAAAAACAATCAACACTCAAAACCCACATAATTAATTCAACTTCAATTGCTTTCAAGTGTTACTCAAAACCCCCGAAATTATTCAATTAAAATTGAACACCAAAACAATTGATGACGCATAAACAAAAAATACAGTCTTTTCAGAAAAAGATAGATAGATACCTTAATTTTGGATATTGGGTTTTGCGGGAAACAACCTGACTAGCTGCAAACCGCTAAATAGGCTTTCTTATTCTTGCTTCCGCCCAACAACGGTTTCTCCGCCGGGGGAAATCAGAAAACCGGAACGCCGACCGCAGCGTAGATAGTGCCAACTATGGTTCGATAAAACGCTCACGTTTTCTTTTAAGATTTGTTTAGTTTTGTTGGTTTTCCAAAACCATAGGCCCAGTCTACACCAAAGGCACATTTATATCACTGTCACCGATTTTGTATTAATAAATAATCGTTTAATTTATAAATGTAGTAAGATTTTTATAAATTAATAATTTGGAGAGTAGGAAAATTTATTAGTTAATAAAAATATTATTTAATTAATAAATTAATAATTCATTAACTTATACATTAATTAATAAAAAGTTAATTTAATAAGATATTTTTTATTTTTTTAAATATTGAATTTAATACTTAATTACATAATTACAAATTATTATTATTTTATTTATTTATTTAATCAAAACAAGTTCATGAATATAATTAGTCTTATTAAATAGAAGTCATAAATTAATTTACTTTTGCTATAAATTAAAATTACCTTTCATGTATATTTAATATATTTTATGAATATTAAGTTAAGCAAAAGTTTTTATAAATAGAACAAATAATATCACAAACGGTAAAACTAAATAATATGATTTTTCATCTTAAAGGTGTAATTTAATAATAATGAAGGAAAAGTTAGTGAGACATAAATTTGAAAAAAAAATAACAAATAACATTAAAATCATATTTTATAAAGACTTCTTAATTAACTCATATGTATGTATATATATATATATATAATTTTGATATATGAAGAAATCATTTTGATGTATGAGAAGATTATTAATTTATATATAAAGTAAGATGTATGTGTTTGTTTTTAAATATATTATCTTATAAATTTAACTAATTATTGATTTATCATGTTAGTTTCAAATTAAGATTGATTAAAAATATTATTTAATTAAAATTATTAATTTATAAAAATTTTACTATAAGTGAATTCTTTCACCTATATGTGTAGGATCGAGGTAAAATTAATACAATCAAAACTTACTTAACTCTTTTTTATATATGTTATTTATTTGAATCTTGTGTTATTTAATTTATTTTGTTTTTATAATACTTTAAAAAATCATATCTCATAAAATGTGTAAATATTAATAGTATTAGTCAATAGTAATTTTTTTTTTTACAAAAGAAAATTTGCATTTCCTCATCAGTAAAATTTAAATTTTTAAAAGTATTGATTGTTATTTAAACCTACAGTTTGCATTTTACTTTTTAAAACTAAAAAAATTAATAAAATAAAGAGACAAATTACTATGGAAAAGGTTTTATACCAGCACTGTTTTTATATTTCTCCAGGATTAAGATTTGAGATTAGTTAACCTGCTATAGGAAAACTTCCAAACTATATTTGGATTAGAATCTTCATGCAACCAAACAGGCCTCAGATATTTCTTCCCCGCCATGGATAACAATAATCACCAGACACAAGCCCTTAAACCCTCCCCCCACAACCTCCAAACCAAATAGCCTATGTTAAAATACCAGTCTCTCTGCCCCTCTGATGCTTTTATGCATTTTTTCTTCTTCTAATCAATGACTCTATTATCCACTCGCCAATTCCATTCAACAACAACAACAAAATCAAGCTTCTTGGATTCGTTTCAAACCTCTCTCTCCAAGTTCCATGGCCTCCCTCCCCCTTTTTTCAGGTATGATTCATCAAATTTCCCTCTCAAAACCTCAACTTTGTATGCAGCTAACCATACTGTCACTTCAAACTCACTATTTCACCAATACCCGAAAAGCAAAACCAAAGCTTTTCCCACCATGGATCCCACCTTTAGAAGTAATTGGTTAGATAGTTGGAACAAAACCCGCAAAGGATTTGGGCCTAAACCGCCCAAAACAGTGTTCAATTATAGAAAAAAGGGGAATGTATGGAGCTTGTCTTATTCACAGAGTGATAACAATGGGAGTAGTAGTAGTAGTAGTAGTAGTAGTACAATGGAGAAAATAGTGGAGAAATTGAAGAAATTCGGATACATTGGAGAGGAAAATGAGCAGAAAGAAAAGGGTGAGGAAGAGCCAAAGAGAGTGATTGAAAGAGGGTCTATAGAGGATATTTTTTATGTGGAAGAAGGAATGTTACCAAATAATAGAGGTGGATTTTCAAAGGAGTCACCTTTGGGGATGGAAAATGTGTTTGGAAGTGATGGGGAAGTGAGGTTTCCGTGGGAAAAGAGAAAGGAGGACCAGGAGGAAGGGAGGTGGACAGCGAGAAGAGATAGTAAAACTTCGTTGGCAGAATTGACTCTGCCTGAGTCTGAACTTAGGAGGTTAAGGAACTTGACGTTCCGGACGAAGAGTAAGATGAGAATTAAGGGTGCTGGTGTTACTCAGGAGGTGGTGGATACAATTCATGAGAAGTGGAAGACTGAGGAGATTGTGAGGTTAAAGATTGAGGGGGCACCTGCTCTTAATATGAAAAGGATGCATGAGATATTGGAGGTTTGCTTCTGATGAACTTTAATTGCTTTTGTTTAGTTTTGTTTTTGTAAATTTGTAGAACGTTTTTAAAATTTTTCCGTGGAATTTAGTCCAAATAAGAGAGGAATAAACCAATTGATAAATGAAAATGTGAAATTAAGTACATATTTTGTGTCCTCACCAACAATTGAATCTTCACTTTCGAGAAAATAAATATATTTTCGAATGCCATGTTTTCTTAAAACTTCTGCTGGTTGGGCAGTGATATGATTTCACCTGTTGACTGTTGTACCAAAAAAAAAGAAGGAAGTATAAGTAATAGACTAATAGGATAATTTTAGGGGAAAATAATATTTTAGAATGTTATAATACTATCTCTCTCAATCTCTGAAAAGTTAGTTACTCTGTCTTTCGCTAATTTGGCTTTTTCATCCTTTTGTTTTGTGTAGAGAAAAACTGGAGGATTAGTAATTTGGAGGTCTGGGACATCTGTTTCTTTATATAGAGGCGTGAGTTATGAGGTTCCTTCAGTGCACCTGAACAAACAAATATATAAGAGAAACGAAACATTGACATATGCCTTACCATCAGTGTCTGATAAAACTAAGGATCTTTCTACCTTGGGTTCTCATAAAGATGTGGTTTCACCTCAAGCAAACTCTGAAACTGCTGCTGAAGGGAATAAAGATACAGAATCATTGCCAGAAATAAGGTATGAGGATGAAGTAGACAAGCTGTTAGAGGGCCTGGGTCCCAGGTACACAGATTGGCCAGGATGTAATCCATTACCAGTTGATGCAGATTTGCTTCCTGGAATAGTTCCTGGTTATCATCCTCCATTTAGAGTACTTCCTTATGGAGTAAGATCTTCTCTTGGACTAAAGGAAGCAACATCTCTGAGAAGACTTGCCAGAGTTCTTCCTCCACATTTTGCTATAGGTATGCTACATTTTCTTGGGTCACCACATATGATCTGAAGGTGATTCTTTTGAATGTCTAATGAAGTATACCTCTCCAGGTAGAAGTAGGCAGCTCCAAGGTCTGGCTGTGGCCATGATTACATTGTGGGAAAAAAGTTCTATTGCAAAGATTGCGCTCAAACGAGGAGTGCAACTGACTACTAGTGAGAGAATGGCTGAAGATATCAAGGTAATTGAACTAAATTTTCTAAATCACTCGGTTTTAATCTCTGTGTCAACTAGTATATGATACTTCTGATCCTATTTTTTTCGGTCTGTTTATGTCCCCTGAGCTCCAAAATGTTTTAGGGGAAACGGCTTAGCTTTTTGGATACTTACTGGATAGTGTGCTTATTCATGGCCAAAAGAATGATCCGTGAATGTATTTTATTTTCTGTTCAAGCACATAAACCAGTGTTAGAGTCTTACTGCCTCTATGTTAGTGGATGTTGTTAACTGTCCCAACACTCATCTTATTGCCAACTTGCCTTATGTTGTTTGGAATCTAGTTTTTGAAGTCCTTGCCATTGGACCCATGAGGAATAAGTTAAATCAACTTAAATATGAAATAAGCATAAGGATTCATGTTTGTGTGCCATAAGAAGTCCACATTTCTTCAATAATTGGTTAATTCATTCAACTAGATAATACAGCTTGATCAAACTTCCCATATTCTTCTGTTCTGGCTATCATTACGATTTTAACAATATATTGGTGATACAGCTTCCTGAATAATTTATTCAGTGTTTCCATTTAATATTTTTAGAAGAAAACAAGCATGATATGTCTTGGTGATGTGGACACTTACTGGTAGTGGTATCAGTTTATATTTGATAAACTTTTACGGTCAACTATTTGGATTCTGGAAACACTAGATTGAACAGTTGATAACATACTTCTGTTGATTGGCTGCAGAAATTGACAGGGGGCATGCTTCTCTCTAGAAACAAGGACTTCTTGGTCTTCTACAGGGGAAAGAACTTTTTGTCACCAGATGTTGCTGAAGCATTACTAGAAAGGGAGAGATTGGCAAAGTCCCTACAAGATGAGGAGGAGCAAGCACGGTTAAGAGCATCAGCTTTTCTTGTACCAAGCGCTGAAGTAGCTGAGCAATCAGGAGCTGCAGGTACCCTTGGAGAAACTTTGGATGCAGATGCTAGATGGGGAAAGAGGTTGGACAATCATCATAAGGAAAAGGTGATGAAGGAAGCAGAAATCTTGAGGCATGCCAACCTAGTCAGGAAACTTGAAAAGAACCTAGCTTTTGTGAGTTCCTTGAATTTTCAGTCCCTATGTTTTCATGCATTATTTTTTAGTTTTATACGCTGAAATACTGCCATTACCTGCAATTTGTAGATTTATATGCTAAATAGGTTTGAGTGAGAAAATTTTAACTTTCAGGCTGAGCGAAAGCTTTTGAAAGCTGAACGAGCCTTATCTAAGGTGGAAGATTATTTAAAACCAGCAGACAGGCAGGCAGATCCAGAAAGCATAACTGATGAGGAAAGGTTTATGTTTCGCAAGCTGGGGTTGAGGATGAAAGCTTTCTTACTTCTTGGTATCTCTCTTTCTACAAGAATTATACAGTCTTCCATTTAAGAGTTTGAGATTTTTAGAGGAGTTTAATTTAATATCTTGCTTCAGGTAGACGTGGAGTTTTTGATGGTACTATAGAAAACATGCACTTACACTGGAAATACAGGGAGTTGGTTAAGATCATCATGAAGGCTAAAACTTTTGACCAGGTAAAAAAGGTTGCATTAGCACTTGAAGCTGAAAGCGGTGGAGTTTTGGTTTCAGTTGATAGAATCTCCAAAGGATATGCCATAGTTGTATTCCGAGGAAAGGATTATCAGCGACCTTCTACAATAAGGCCAAAGAATCTTTTGACAAAGAGGAGGGCTTTGGCACGTTCAATTGAGCTTCAAAGACGCGAGGTATATCTCAGAAACTCCTGTGGAAAACATGGAACTACATAGCATGTCGCTTAAGCTTTTGATTAATTTACCTTTTAAAATTGCAGACACCTCTGAAATGACTCATTTTCCTTCATATTCCATTTAACAGGCTCTCGTAAAGCATGTTTCAGCTCTGCAGGCTAAAGTGGATAAAATAAGATCTGAAATAGTATGGTTTTCTTATGTAGTTTATTAGCTTTTGCTGTTCTTTGGTTAGCCAGTTTGGTCATCAATATTAATACACCAACCTTTCATGCACGTTTGATAGGATCAAATGCACAGCATGGAAGAACAAGGAGACGTGGAGTTTTATGACAGATTAGATTCTTCATATCCTACTGATGATGATGACACAGAGGTCTAAATTATTTTTATCTCTCTAGATCTGCAGCTGCTTGATGTAAGATAGCTGATCTAACGAGTTGTTTCGTTTATTTTTTCTGCCTTGTACAGGAGGAAGGAGATGAGGCATATCTTGAGACATATGAAAGTGAAAATGATGCTGAAGAAGAAAATGATGAATTGATTCACAATGTCCGCTTGGAAACAAATTTTCCTTTCCATGACCAACATCATCAGGAGTCAGGAATAGAATCTGATGTTCCTTAAGCAGTTGCAAACACATTTTTCCTTAAATCAAGCAGAGAAACTAAGTGGAGACAACAGATGATTTGTCAAATTAGTCTGGAAGCAATAGAAGATCAATGCTTCTTAGAGCTTTGTCATTATGTACAGATCTTTGGGGGCAGATTATCATGTAGATATTAAAGCTATGCAAGACTTCCATCCTCGCTGGTTATGATTTATAAGCCGTTTTTGGTTATTAAATTGGATAGTTTATAGGAAAATGTTTTCACAGGTATATTTTTCGGATTTTTAGCAAATTCACAGTAATTAGCTTCTACAATCAACCAATAAGTGTTCAACCCCGCTTAATGGGCGAGGGAGCCAAAGACGGCCCCTTGGAAACTAAAGACAAACCATGATACAGACGACACTGCTGACTATTTGGCCAAAACAGGGTGGAAAGAATAAAGGATTTTATATGGGTTTCAAATGAAGAGGATGACGTGCAGCAACCTGCTTGGGGTTGTGGTTGGAGCTCTGCTTGTTGAGCCTATGCTGGAGGAACTTTCTGAGGAGGCCATGGTTTTTATGTTGCTGAATGTTTCTGTGTGCAGGGACTTGGGAGGTACATGTGATGTATGTCACTTGCCTTAAGTCGCTGGTGGTTGAGGGGTAATTCGGGCACTATAGAGAATCATGAAAGGATCCTGGAAGTGTACAGGGGAGTTTAACTTTTAGATTGTCTCTCTGGTCTTTGGATTCTTCTGTGAATGATTGTGTTGATGTATAGGGGTTCTTTTTATGTTTTTGTCCCTGGTTTACCTCTGTTTGTGTTTGGCCAAGGTCGTGCTAACCTTACTGCTGGTTGGGGAATGTAAATGTGTAGCTTTTGGGGCATCTAGAGGACTCTAGGATCTGCAGATTGTTCTTTAATGTTCTCTGCAGGTGGTTTTTTGGTGGTAGGAGGCTGATCTTCCCTTGGTCATATTGATATATTTATCATGAATTGAATACAACCCAGCTTTTTTAAAAAAATATATTCAACCCCACTCCCAAAAATGGAAGAATAAAATGCAAAAAGTGAAAAAAAAGAAAAGAACTATATATTATAAATAATTGTTCTTGCAAGAAATAGACTAGAATCAAGACGACGAGGACCAGAGGTCAAGCGAGGTCAGCTTATCTTGATGCGTCCTATTCACCGTCGCAGCAGAAACCGGCGAAACAAATTTCGAAATAAAAGCTTTCAGAAACCTAGCACGTGGGTAGTAACCTGAGGCTTTAATGTTGACCACCGAAGGTTTAGCCGTGTAGGACGTCCTCTCGTTTATGTAAAATGACAAAAATTGGGTCCCATACATCTAGTTTCCATGGCCAATTCTTGTGGGCTAACTAAGCGCGGAAAAGAAAGACTCACCATTTGACCGAGCACAGTTAGTCCACAGGGCCCAAAAAACATATTGAAAATGAACATATTTTGACCACGTTTTCATGATGTCTTAAATTTGTTTCAAGCAATTCAGGACAAAGCAGACCGTTATATATATAAACGTTTCAAATCGAAATTCGAAATTCCCGGTAAGGCCAAAGGAGGAGAGAAGCCATGGATCAGTTGATAAAACAGCTGCTACAGGGTGAAATCTTCTGGTATGAAACTACTCCTGCTCCACCTGTTAGGCAAAGCGCTTTCGTGCCATATCCAAATGCACCCAGAATTGGATTGGGTTTGGAGAGCGCTGGTTGTAGTAATGGAGTGAATTCTGGAAACATGAACAAGAGGATGATTGAATTCTTGATGAAGAGTTGGCCTACAACGAGAGAAACCAGAGACACCGAGAAAGATAGGTGTTTCCGTCACATGATGAATGAGAGAATGAGAAGAGAGAAGCAGAAGAGAAGCTACTTCTCCTTGCATTCTATGCTCCCTCTTGGCACCAAGGTTGGTTTAGTTAATCCATTTGACGCAATGGGGTATTTTGTTTTTTTGATATAATTACGTTGCGTTCATTGCCATTTTGTTTGAACTTTCATTGCAGAATGATAAGAACTCGATAGTTCAAGCGGCGACTAACAGAGTTCAAGAGCTGGAATGGCTAAAGAAGGACTTACAGAAGAGAAACCAAGAGCTGGAGTCAAATTTGGCTGCAATGACTGAGGTTAAAATCAATGAAGGAACCAAGATTACAGTAAGGTTAGACAATCCAACATCTGGGATTGATTCCATGTTGGGGGTTTTGAAATGCTTGAAGAAATTGGATTCAAAACCCAGAATGATCCAGTCAAAGTTCACTAATCAAGAATTCGTTGCAGTAATGGATATTGAAACTGAGGTTAGTTGTTTCATCTCTTTTCTTACAGTGGATTCAGCCTCTGCATTTAGAATTATACCATAAATTTCCCCTTTCATATAATTCCTTTGATCATCAGCCATCTTATTCTGCCCTCCAATTCTTTTGAAATTCAATACCAATACCATAAAATGAAGATTTGAATAATACATGCTTCAATATTTTAACATTATTTCACATCTCAGGAAGTTTAATGCTTCTATTAATAGTAAGAAGCCACTTTTTTGACAGATAAGAGCTGCCGAAATGGAAAAGGCTGTAAATAGAGCATTGCAGGAAGCTGAGAGGAAGCTTCAGCAACGTTGGACCAGATGCTAAACCCAATGAAAGTTTATCCAATATTTCTAATCTTACAACAGGGGGAAACAGGCACGGAAGAATATAAGATTAAGTCAATTGACCAAACCTAATTCCTTACTTAATAAATTGTAGCACAGTTACTGACGTGGGAAGCATGGGTCATTTCAGTTACTGATTACTGGCTAGAATTTTTGCTTGTTTAAAATGTAACTCACCTGCTCAATTTGAATTAGACTTTTTTGTTTTTTAATTTGTTGGTTTTAAAATATAAACGTTTAGCTTACACTTCCTACTCGGATATTTAAGCACGTTGAAGGTGTGCGCAGCTACTTGACTGGACTGCCATGCGTGCTGACGTAAGAATGCCTGGCTAGTCAAAACTCAGTACCGTGGTGTTCTGATCTTGAAACGTTGCAATTTACAGTCAGTGTTGGATTGGTCGTCGAGGAACAGTAAACAGTTGGACTTTCATCAAATTCTATTCATCATTTTTACTTTCTTTTCTTTATTTGTTTATTTTGTCCGATCAAAGTATTACAGTAAACACGAATGAATTTGCTAAGCATAGAGTTGGTCAAGATTAATGAGCAGTTATGCCTCTGCAGCTGGGTTTTCAGATGAGGTGCTAGTATAATGATGGACAATTTTTAATGCTACAGACTGAGATGCTCATCATTTCGTTCAGGCTGTGAGAAACAAGGCCTGAGCAGTGAGAACACTAGAACAACGTTGCCCACATCAGAATTAGAACTGTGTTAAAATCAGATATGCTGCAGCAAAACATTTATTGTGCCGCTTACACCAAGACCAATTCGAAAATGCTGCAAACAGAAACTGTTCTTCCTAATGCTTTTGAAAGCCTGCGCATTAAATTAATCCCAACCAATACAACCTGAAATAAACAGCAGTATGCAACTACTTTTGGTTACAAGAACGACATAGCTAGCTGGAAGCAAGGCCCAACTAGATTGTACACTTTTTGGTTTTAAATGTGAAAATGAGTTACAAAAATGCATATACCGATCAAAAAGATTAAGCACTCAAAACAGAGATAATTATGCCATTGGAATGGAAGGGAGATGTCATCTTATAACTCTTATAACTCCTCAGCGCGCGCACACACACACACTATCAAGCTACTGAAGATGTAGGGGGGAAAAGGATTACATTATATATCTGGTAGTCAACCCCTGTTAAGATTAAGGATATTCAAACTCAGCCCAATAAACTATTACACATGCATGGCCGTGCGTAGCACGAGTCTTCATCAAAGCTCAAAACCTAAGCAAAATGAACATGTTGAAAGAGTTGTTGCACCATGAGCAGAGCCTTTCAGATTCAGAATTCAAAGATCCCTTACCCCCCTCCTAATTGTACCAACAATGATTTAAGTATCCATACTCTACAAATAGAGGCAATCAGATGAGGTGAAACTTCAGAAACTATATAAATTTTGCAGACAACGCAGTGGGCAAAATACCAATTCACTAACAAGCTCAACTACCATAAACACTAAGTGTACCATTCAAAACACCTCTTTAAAACATGACTAAGATTCATTATCTGATATAACAATAGAAAGGGCATAAAATTGCCATTAAGAAACTAAAAGTGCAACAAACAAAATTTGATCAACATAAATGTTTCTCCATAGCAACACCGAATAAAGTATCTAGGCTGCGAGAAGGGACTTCACTTCAGAGGAATGAACCTAGATGAATGGGTAGCACCAATACCAGGTCTACCGTGCTTAACTGGCTTGTATGAAATGGAGAACTCAGCAAGGTAATGCCCAATCATTTCAGGCTTGATTTCAACCTGGTTAAATGTCTTGCCATTGTACACACCAATTATGCTTCCAATCATTTCAGGTACAATGATCATATTTCGCAGGTGGGTTCTAACTGGTTCTGGCTTTTCACCAGGTGGGGCCTCCCTTTTCTGATTCAATACATCAGAGCAGAAAATATTATGCGAGTACACCAGTGAACTTAAACAGAAAGATCAAGCAATAATGATGTCCAATGAAAACAATATTCTCTAAAGCTAGAATTACAATGACAATTCAGCAACAAATAAAAGTTTTACTGCAAGAACAGTACATTGAGCTCTAATAAGGATCAAGTAGTCTTTATAACACTAATAAAATAACTCCTAGGACTTTAATCAGCCTATAATTTGACAAGCAGCACCTTTCAAAAAAAAATTTGACAAGTAGCGTTTAACTACCTGACAATAAATGTGAGAGTGGAAAATTAAAATGAAAAGGAAAAACAAAATGAAGCAGATAGCTACCATGAATGCAACATAGGTTAAGAGTTACTTGCATGTAGAAAAGAATAGGTACATCCTTCGATCAGAAGTTCAAGATTACATATTATGTTATGCACAAAAAAATTTTGCACATAATTTGAAACATAATCAATCAACTGAATGCAATCTCCCTTGTTAACATCAATAAAAATAACAATTCCATCAAACAATCTTTGCAAAAGAGACTCAATTTCAGCTACTAGAATTTGCTACAAATACATTTCCTATGATCTATGATAAAAAAGCAAAGACATCCAATCAAACACAAGCTAAAACATAATGGGTATTTTGAAGACATAGAATAATAAATTGTAACACAAGACATTCTCTAATCATATCTTTCTTTTAGCATAAAGATGAGTTTCAAGTGACAAATTGACAGTTATACCTCAGGCAAAGCTCCAAATGTAATAAAAATAAATTAAACACTCCCCAGTAACTCAGCATCAATGATCAACCTTAGATCTAAACATAAATCCAATAGATATAATTGATAAAAATAAATAAATAAATAAAAGAGCAAAGTCAAGATTAAATTACCGCCTTGCGGAGCTTCTTAATCAAAGCCATGGGCTTTCTCTTGAGACCCCTCTGGAACCTATAACCAAATAATAAAATCCATTTCATATTTTATTAGTATAAACAAAGAAAAGAAAAACTGTTTTGCAAAAATAAATCTTTTTTCTGTTTCTTATTACCTTCTGCGAGCACGAGCAGGGAAGAGCTTGACAAGCTCGTCAGTGGACATATCAAGGAGAGCATCCAAATCAACGCCTCTGAAGCTAAACTTCTTGAACGTTCTCTTCTTGGGTACTCCGGCCGCCGCCACCTCTGTCTCCACATCCGCCTGTCAAAATTTCACCCATTCACCCCACAGTAAGAAAA